TGCTGCAAACGCCAACCATTGCGGTTTTTGCACAAAACTGGTCCGGAGCGGATCCAAATTTTGCGCCATTTAGATGGCGCATTTGATTGGCTCTCAGTGAGTTCCTTTGTTTATTAGCCAGTCAGAATGTCACGTTTGTTACTCTTTTCTGCACTCAATTACCTTGTTTCTGCACCGTGTTACCCAAAAACTGGAATCCTCTTAGCCAATCACAATCGAGAAATTTTTTCATGCATATTATTATAGGCAAAATGAGACAGGAACATGTGTTTCACGATATTCTAAAAACAAACAAAACCTCTTTCTATACCATAAAAACATAAAGTTTGAAAAGTCGAAAAACTGGGATTTTCGACAAAAATTGGCAGTTTTAATCCATTTTTTATCTCAAGTTGAAAAATTGGGAGTTTTCCAAAGGGATCGGTCCATGGTTTTGGTCAAAAATTCGCAATTTTTTTCATTTTTTTATTCTAGGCAAAATAAGCCGGCAAAATGAGTTTCACGATAGTCCATGGTTTTGGTCAATAATAGACAACTTTACCATTTTTTTTCGGCAAAATAGGCCAGAAAAATGTGTTTCACTATATTCTAAGTAGAAAAATACGCCTTTCTAGATCATAAAATCAAGAAATTAAAAAAAGTCGAAAAAGGCAAAGGCAAAGTAGGATAGGAAAATGTGTTTCACTATATTCTTGAAAGAAAAAAACGCCTTTCTACACTATAAAAACAAAAAAGTTGAAAAAGTCGAAAAATTGGGATTTTTTGCAAAGGGGTTGGTCTTTGGTTCAGGTGAAAAACTGGCAATTTTTTCATCTTTTTATTTTAGGCAAAATAGGCCAGAAAAATTTGTTTCACTGTAAGTTCTAGAAAGAAAACAAAAAGCTCTTCTACACGATAAAAACAAAAAGTTAAAAAAGTCGGAGAACTGGGATTTTTTTAAGAGGGGTTTGTCCATATTTTTGCTAAGAATTGGTAATTTTTCCCTCTCTTTATTTTAGGCAAAATAGGCTAGGAAAATGTGTTTCACGATATTCTAGAAAGAAAAATCGCCTTTCTTGATCATAACAACAAGAAGTTAAAATGTCGAAAAATTGGCATTTTTGACAAAAACAATGAACTAATCCTTTTGGAAAAATCTTTGTTCTCCGACTTTTTTAACTTCTTGTTTTTATACTCTAGAAAGGCCTTTTTTTCTAGAATATCATGAAACACATTTTCCTGGCTTATTTTGCCTAAAATAAAAGACGGAAAATTGCCAATTTTTGACCAAAACCATGGTCTAACCCCTTTGGAAAATCCCAATTTTTCGACTTTTTTAACTTCCTTTTTTATCTCGAAAGGTTTTATCTCTATCTAGAATATCGCTTAAAACTTTTTTGCTGCCTATTTTGCCTAAAAGAAATTGATGGAAAAATTTCAATTTTTTTGAACCAAAACAATGGACAAACCCCTTTGGAAAAATGCCAATTTTTGGACTTTTTTAACCTCGCGTTTTTATAGTCTAGAAAGGCTTTATTTCTATCTAGAATATCGCCAAACATTTTTTTCTTGCCTACTTTTCCTAAAAGAGAAAGATGGAAAAATTTTAATTGTTGGACCAAAACTATACACTAACCCTTCTTTTATATTCATATGCAATTGTTGATTCATCGTGACGTCATTGTTTTCATTTGTGCTGATTAGCATACGAGATATCCCATAGGAGCTGTAGCCGTAGATACCAATTTGGTGCAAAAATTAAAAGGGCTGGTTAATTTATGCAGTTTGTGCATGTTTTAGCTCTTTACCATCAGCAACAAAGACAATAGCAGCAATTAAAAACTGCAAAATTACTGGGTGGCAACACGTTAATGAGCTCATACATTCTTATTAAATTTGGGGGGTTTTGAAAGAGAAATTCCCCGAAACTATTTGGTATACCGGGCTCAAATTTTAAGAGGTAACTGAAACTGTTATCCTCTTTCAATATTCAGAAACTTCTTTTTTTTAACTTTATCAGATTATCATAAGCCTATTCTAATGAGACAAATATGTAAATAAGGATTCGCCTAATCCCGTGCATCAAAATTTTTATCTCTTTCCAAGCAAACCTGCAAATACACTGTAAACTCTTACAGTAAGAGGTTCTAAAATATATCAAATCTTAAGTGTTTGGAGAAGTTTGCGAAATTTCCAGTCGGGATGTTCTCTGCATTGAAACTTAACTAAGGCACGAAAAAACCCTTTTGATTATCGCCTTCACTACTTGTCTTAGTTCTTTCATCCTCCAAAAGTACAAAAATGGATTAAGAGACGAGTTTACGTAAAAAATAGTGGTGGCAGCCTCTCGAACGATGATCAGTGTAGTGCTAAGACTATTGTCATGGTCACTCGGTCGTATGGTTATCAGAGAAATTATAAACGGCACATAGCATACAAACAAGGCAACCTGTACCATCGCTATACTAACGACCGTCTTTTTGTAAAGTGCTATGTTCAGTGGAATTCTTCCTCCGTTGGGTTGTCGATCATGAGCATTCCCTTGTACACTAAGCTGATGTTTTCTTAGTCTAAGGAATATCTTTGAGTAGGAAACCACTGAAATTATTAAGGAAAGAACTATCACAGTGGTAATTGTAGTCAGGAATAGGTGGTAACTGCAAAATAATATTACAACACACGAAACAGTAATGAACTAAAACAAGCAAATGATTGCACGGATTCGACAAAGTGTTACAACTCTTCTATATCTTAGCCCCAGAAACAGGGCTAGAAGTCTGTCCACACTTAAGGCGGTTGACGTCAATATCGACACTCCACAAAAAATGATGGATGTAGTCCAGTTGGCGATGTAAAGTACATGGAGATCCAAAGTTATCTTTTCATAGAAGTAGCATTTCATGAATATGAGGCAAAAAAGTGGCTGGGATTTAAGACCAACACCAAGATCGGAGACCGCCAGGCATTGGAACATCAGTTTTGTCGGCGGATGGAGAGAAGTTACCTTACGAAGGGCAATCAGAATGAGAAAATTTCCAAGGGATGCGGTGATGGTTAGAAGAATATTTATGAGGAAAAATGGAAGCATCCATGTCGCTGAAAAAAAGGAGTTTCTGTCTTCAGTCAAATTCCCCATTTATTTGGTGTAACAGGAGGTCAACAAAGCACAGGCCAAGAAGGTCTCCTCTGTAACGTTTCTTATTCCAGTGCTAAAAAAATGCAAAATGGCCTTGCATCACAAAACCGATGAAAACCTTTATAGACTGAATAGATGCAATTATAAATCAATGCACGTTACGACGGACGTATTGCAAAGAATTCATCGCTCACTTAATAAAGAAAAATGTGGAGAGTCAGGAACTGAAAACGATAACGATTTTTTTTTATTGAAAGTGATCTTTATATAATGTCAGAATTCAAAATATTCCGAGATTGTTTCTGACATCACTTCATCACGTCCGACGTCCGAGCCCGTAATTTTCCGTCACCTGACGTCAATTGTATTTTCAATTAACAAACGACCTTGGACTAAAGTTCATTTTCGGATATATAGATAAGTTATTACCGCAAATTATTCTAAAAAGGAACATCAGGGAGGCTTGATAAATTAAAAGCTTGGTAACAAAGAAAATTTCTCAGTCTTACAAAGAAAGTTTACGGCTTTATTAAAAGTTTAGTGTCTTCGTTGTCGGTAAGGAAAGTTAAACATGACAATTTTGTTTGATAAGGTAGAGGTAAAAAACATGGACGCCGAAGCTGACTGGTGAAATGGTAGCGCGTAATTGTCATTTGTTGATTCTTTTCGCGTTAGGTTTTAATCTAGTTGACTCAGCTGAGAAAATACCATTTTTGTTTTTTAAACAAATGTGATTCATTTGATATAACGGCCTACTAGTATTATTATCGTAAAGCATATAATAATGAGAGTGATCTATACTAAGTTTTGATATGTCCCAGGGCATGTATATAACAGACGTAAGACTTTTTTTGGGAAAAGTTAAACATGAAAGCCTTGGAGTGATTTTAGATGTTCTGTTCCAGAGTGCTGTACGTGTTATTGACTTCTCCTGGGTCAATATTCGAGCCTAGCTGGCTGGCGGTAGACATCAAACTTCCTAGGCGAAATAGAATTTCCGGTCGTCTTTTTATAATTATTCTCTCTTTTGTGTGCACAAAATTTTATCGCATGCTTAAAGGTGAATTATATATCCAACGCCACTAGAAAGTTCTTCACCAATTTCTACAATTAGGGGGCGAGTAGGTCGAAAGTAAGTGACGGAAATCGCAGGGAATGTCATCTTATTTTCGGAAAACTTAATCACCATACGCACCACCGTGGGTAAAAAAGATTTTTATCATGATGGCTTAATATGAACTAGTAGTGGCGAGCATCGCAGTCGTCCGCTATATTATGAAACTTGCTAAAGGCGCGCATTAGATTTCTATTTGCAGCGGTGTTAGAGAGGAGAGTGAGAAATTGGGATTCACATTGAATAGATTATGATTTCTATATAGCGAATACGGGGAGGGGGGGGGGGTATTATTATTGCATCTCAGCAGTGATTCCCTTCCTCTATATGGCGCCTCTTTCAGATTATTTCCCTTAATTTTTACTCCTCATCCCACCCCTTCCTACTCAAGTCCGTATCTTTTATGTCAAAGCGTCTGCCAGGTTCCCCATATTAGAAAGGAGAGCTGCTAAGACCATTGTGTGAAGAGAGCAATTTCACCAGCACTATTGCGCGCATCCTATTTTTTATTTATTAATAATAACAATAATTACTATAGGCACCTTCTCTCCAATGCAAGTCATACACGCAGAAAGAGAAGAGACAAATATCCAGAACTGATCCGTAATTTGTCATTTAGTCATAAAAAAAAACCGGGAAAGGCATGGATTGCGATTGAAAGAGTTGAAAACTCACTTCCCCTGCACACTTGTTTTTTTTTTCCAGTACCAAAAAAAGGTTAGTCACAAACTCAACACTGTCAAATTACAATGCAATTACAACCTTTTATTGGTCGATTATTTGATATCTATTTCTATAAAGCTGGAATTTTCTTTCAAACTAAGTGCTCTCTCATTGTTTTTTTTTTCTATTTCGCGTCACATGACATCTAAAGAACTGCTTCCCACCGCAAGTTTCAGAGCGAGGAACGCTGCAAAATCTGTGGCGTTAATCTTCTCAGGAAACATGCAAGTTTGCTGTTTCCCTCGAGAACAATCACGAAGTGTTCAGAATTCACCGCTATCACTCCATCTTTTACCCAAAGTGTCTTTACAACAACACTTCAGCATTTGCTTGCTAAGTCTCTTCCCCAGGGTCTTTCTTCTTCCCGTCCCAAAAAGCGCGCAGGAGATGGGAAACGGACAGGAAGACGAGAGAGAGAGAGAGAAAAATTAAGGGTAATGTTCTCTCAACCTTTCATGATTGACATCACAATTTTGTATTAGATATCACTTCAACTTCTACTTCATTCTTTTAGCGATCAGTTGCATTTGATACTCCAATTATCCATTTATCAAATTATCAAAAGTCTGAGTTCATTAGCTGATTACCATTCCGACACACTGTATGCATTTCTACTGTAAGGACTCTTTTTCTTCAAAGTGAACTGTTACATTTTAACTTTTTCCCGTCTGGGTAAACGTAAACAGTGCAGAGGACTTTTCAAAACTTGCTCCCCACTGGCTCCAGGGCCTCCCAGCAGCCCAAAAAAAGACCCTGGCTTATTGTTACGTGGTGTCATGGCGCCTGTACTTGTCACGTGACATATCAAGGGCGTTGTCGCAAATGTTTTGATGGATCGAAAGAAATAGTGGTAAGTATGCCATGTAATCCAAGAACGAAATCTAGAATATGAAAAAAGGGGGGAAAGGAGAATATTTATGACAATGCTTTAATTAGCTCCATTTTACTCCGAATGTTACGTTGCGTCGTACTGATTGCGTCTTGGGATTACCAGTCCCTGATTGTAATCACTAGGGAGCTTTATCAACGACTGGGACAGTAACAGCAACGAGAACGTCAAAAACTCAATGGGTTTAAGAAGCAAAACAACAATTTTCCAGCACGTGTTTTAGTAACTGCTATCCTTACACGAACACGACGTGAAAGTTTCCTTATGGGGCGCTTTATGGACGACGTAACCACATCTCTGCGTATTTACCTTTCTCTTTCTTTCTCGCGTCATCGACATGGTGTAAGAATCGCCCAACGCCACCAATAGGGAAGTTCAGTGTGATCACAACAAATTGACATGTCTTTAACTGTACTAGAGAACCGTACAAGAAGAGCACAATTGTACTTGAATCATTATCGTTCTTTTTTTAAGCACTTACCTCCCACGCCTGAGTAGACTGTAGTATGTGACCAATCACGTGATTTTCTTGCTGTTGGTTGAGCCCGCCGGCCTTAAGTTCGATTCTTAGCTGATCAGCAGTGATGAAATTCACCGAATAGTCCCCTGTCACGAAGAACATTTTCTGGAAAGAGATGTTCAGAACAAAGTTTCATGAGTAATAAAACTCGAAATCACAGAACTGTTTGAATTTAGGGAGTCAAGTCACATGATTGGTGTTGGCCAAACTTAGAGCTCTTCATGAGACGAACCAAATTCGATGAGTTAAGTTCAAGAACAGTTCGAAGTCTGGCTCAGTTAAGTTCTTTTGAAAGAGTTTGGATCGTCCAACACGTTCTATCCGTCTGCTTCACATCCGACGAACTTAACTAGTGAATTTGTATGATCATGTATATTTAGACTCGTTCGGGAGAAAATTTATTAAAATTGCTTTTCGATCTGATTCAGTTATAATTAATTGGTTCGACGAGTCCTATGTGGTTTGATGCTAGCGAGTTCCAGCTACGTCACCAGAATGATTTGAACGGGAAAACGTGGGGAAGACCATATAGAAACGAGACTAAATTAAAAAAAAAACACAATTTTACCCTAAACATGTCCAACTTGCATTCCAGTTCAAATAGGTCGATTTCTTCTACCAGCTGCCTGACAAACTCACTGAAACAAGAAAAATTTAAGACAAACCTTTCATTTTGTAGGCATAGTAGACAGGCAAATAAATGCACAGCAAAGCTATAGATAGAACGATAACTTACTCAAGAGTCATAACTTTCTCACATAACGCAGTGGTCACCGAAAACATCTTAAATGTTATTCTTGATCCAGGGAAAAGGTCCAGTACCTGGTATAGAGAGAAACGTATGCTGCAGTCGAGTAATTTTAGGTTTGAAAAATAATAATAGTAATTTATTATTTATAAGGCGCAAAGAAAAAATATGATAAAAAATATGATCTAATGCTCAGGTAGGGCGAAGGAACTAAGCACCAAACCCTAACTGAAAGGCTTAAAGTGGATCGTAGGAAATGGCCGTGTTTTTGAAACGATATTAGTTTTGTATTGATTACAAGTTTTCAACCACTACTGTTTTCTATCTTAACTTGGCGAATTATTTTCGTTGAGAAAGCCGACGCCTTCTGCTCGCCGTACATTGACCATTTTCACCGGACCATAATGACTGCTTACCCGCCAAATTTTTCAATTTTTCTTGGGACGACTGTAATACCCAGGAGAAATTGGAAACAATGGTTATGTATAATTTTGTGGGGTATAAAGAAGGTGCATTATGGTCTGGGTGATGATTTATGACTATCATTATTTTTATTTTTGTTTTTATCATTATCATCACTGTCATTATTATTATTATTATTACTATATTGCTATTATACTACTACATGAGAAATTTCTGCAAATTGATTGGCTTAGAGCAGCGGTATTTCAGCTTAATATGAATTACCTACATGTGAAAATTACAAAACCTTTGCGGGTAGTAGTATAAACAAATAATAGCATGATTTGTCCGTGATATTTGGCATAAATCCACTCGTGATATTTCAAAATTATCTCAAAATTATCTCAATTACGTATAACAATTTCGAAATATCTCTCGTGGTATTCATGCCAAATATCACTATAAATCATGCTATCACCTATACAGCTTCAAAGCTTAACGAACACCAACGACTGAAAGCATTTTTTGCCTACATTTCATCACAAAATGTCCTGTTAGTTTGTCACAATAATTCATCCATGAGATTCACTGAAAACCCGATTCATTGCAGCGCTGTTTTATAAACAACTAGATCAAACCACTCAGGCAGCTTCACACGACACTGGACGAATTTTTGACTGGTTGAAAATTCGTGCGTTTAGGAGTTCTGTTCACACGGAACCACCTTAACCGTACGAAAATTTAGACGCCTAGCCGCTTAAAATTCTGTTTGAACAGAGCCAAAACATTGAACGGTCCCGAGTGAACGAACTGTCCGGTCGAAAAGTCGCCCGGCTTCATATGAACGTAGCTTCGTTTAGCATAATATATTTTTAGATGTCTTTAACATACTGCAACACGCTGATCAAGACGCGTCGAGTAGATTGGGTGCGAAAGTTCGTTAGCAATGCCCGTGTTGCATTTAAATGCAGCGGTTCTCTGAAGAAGTCAGCCAGGAGCGTAGCGTCCATATATACTTACATACGCCGGTGCGTTCAGCCGAAATCTGGATTTTGTTTTTCCCCTGAAAACATTTTTGTCATCAAATTGGGATGACTGATAAATTTTTCGCATTATATAAGTGTCTTTGTTTTAGTATTTCCTCTATCCTTTTATTATTCCATAACGCTAGAGATGTGTAAAATAAACAACTGACGTACTTACTGAGAAATATCCCGCGGAAAACGCAGGAAATGGCATTTTCGAGACCCAATAGCCTGCGACCGTAGACGTATTTCCGGTCGTCGAAGAGAAGCGACCACCGGAAATACGTCTGCGGTTCGCAGGCTAGCATCTCAACCCCACTAGTTTAGAGCGTATCTACACTAGCTATTTTTCCGTGCGTACACTTTCATAATCTCACACTGCGCCCCTGTTAGCGATCATCCTTCATAACCTTTCCTGAGTTCACGAGTTCTTCAGTCCTAGCCAGTTCTTTTCCCTCTATCAATTACTGCTTTCGTGTTAAACTTAACTTAACAGAAGAAAGGGTTCGGAAATTATTTTTGCGAAATCAATTAGCACCCCGTTATTACTTTCTTGCCACTTGCAAGACGGTCCACGGTTATTATTGTTTTAAGCCTTCCGCTGTTTCGAATGCAAATATTGATTCTCACCTGCCTATTTAAGCCGTGACATGGTGGGCTTAAACAATAAAAAACACCATGGTAACTTTAATTTCACACAAAGACTGCAGCCAACTTTGGGCAAACCAAATTAAGAGGTTGTGACAAATTCAAGCAGACTTACGTACATGCAACCTGTTTTTGATGTCAAATAATTTCAAATTTGGCTGAACGAAAACTTGAAGGACGTATTTTGGGAAAAATTATCTTCATCCGACTCTTTTGTTTTGTCAAAAAATAACACATTTCCACAAGAATAGGGGCTTTCATTTAACCCTATTGTTCTCTTCTTTAGAAGAGCTCAAGCAATTTACAAAAGCTATAATTGATATTTTAGGAACAACGAACAGTACAGCCACTTCATTGTGACGAACTTTTGCGTCGTTGTTTTCGACGAAAACACCATCTAAAGTCGGTTACAAAGGTTGCCTCAAAAAGAAGATAAAATCGATTACTTCAATGAGTCCGAGATTAACAACGAATTAAAGTCAAAGAGCTTACTTCAGAAGCAGAAAAAATAGGAGCCAACGACAAAATTCACGCAAAGAATACATTGCATGCATATTTGAAGAAGTTGACATGGCGTTATTTTTGTGTTGGGATTGATTCAGGAGCATGGAATTTCCAGGCAGGAAAAAGGGTTGTACTAAAGTTGATGACCCGTATTTTGGAAGAAGAAAACCTTCAGAAATTTTAAAGCGAATTCATCGGAAAATATCGCTTTTGGAAAGCCAGAAAGAGCGGCGAGAGATAAACTGTGGCCAATGTTCAGGTACCTTATCAGCCACAAATTTTAGAAGTAACGATCGCAGCAATTCTTCTAAGCAGGGAATGAAAAAGGATGATCCAAAATGTCGCTCAAACGAGAACTTGATGAACAACGCTACGTTACTTCAAAGACAGAGAGCTGCTACGGCGCCGGGAACATTAACAACGACAAGCATATCAAACGATAAATGGCCCACTAAAGACGAATTTTTGAGTTTATTGTTCCGCATGATCTGAACGCTTCGACGTTGTTATTAAAAAAAATCCGTTTGGAATATTTATTATATACATTAAATTCAAAGGGAAAAAAAAGAGGAAAATTCTCAAGCAGATTAGATTTAAAAACGGAGGCAGCATTTTGTTGCAAAATCAAAATTAATTTTACGGAAAAATAAAATTACTTTTTGAAGTTTTCGTCAAAAAACAGTAGTGCATAGTTGGTGGGAAAATTAAAGAGCTTATTTTGCGATTATATCCCAGTAATCCGCGCTTGAAATGAAGTGTATTCATGATTTCATAATTAAATGTCAAAGGCGAAGTAAAAATAAACAGCCTTATGCAGATATTTATAAATTAAAATTCGGTGTTCAATCTACTTGCTAATAAGCAGCCTTCGCCTTTTATCATTTTTGTTTTTTTTTCTTCACGGGTTGGTCATCGTACCGACAGTACAGCTCCCCTGATAATGTTACCTCCGAAAATTTAAAAAGGGCTGAAAATATGACCAGTATTGATTAATGAAATAATGAACCCATGTTCAGATTTTTTCGATCGAGATCTGTTCACTCATATTTTGCTCATAAAAAATCCGTTTGTTTTAAAAGACTCATAAAAAATTCAACAAAGCCATTTGCTGTACCGTACATTAAAACAGGCTTTGGAAAAAGAAAATCACTCTTTTACCGGAATGAGAGAAAATAAAATCATTTTTTTTCTCTACATAGAGTTTAAAACATGTAGTTTGAATTTAATTTTTCCGCGCTTATCTTAATAATAAACAAGAAACTTAATTCAAAATCAGCATTTACAGGTGAATTTATATAGCAGAAATACTGGCATTTCAATAACCTTCCTACTACCTAAAAAACGAGCAACAAAAACAGGCAACATTGCTGCAAAACGATTTGAGAAGCGAAAGTGCGCGTTTTTACCGCCCACAAACCAAACCTTTCTTGAAACAAATCAGGTTGTTGTAAGTTGCGTGAAAACTGACTTTAACTGAAATTACGCGGGATCGAGTCAAGTCATACGCTGGAGTGATGTCACTTACTGCAAAACAAGTTTGCTTTGGGCCGGCAAAGCGAGCAACATGTACAGAATTTGTTGCAACAAGTAGATCTACTCTCTACTTTCTGCAACAACTTTTCGCAACCTGCAACAACCTGATTCGCTGTAAGACAGTTTTGATTCGTGTACGCTAAAACAAGCAACATCGCTTTTCAACACGTTTTGCCCGCCGCAATGCTGCCGAAAACAACATGAATTTTTTCGACGCCCGTTTTACCGTGCCTTTAGTGTCAGCCATGCTTTCTTGTTTGTTATTCCGTTTATATAAAAGTAACGTCTAATAAAAGCACACCCACATCTGCGATAACTGTTTTCTCAGCCACCAGATGTCTTACCTGTAAAACGAACATGAGCTGTTTCCTAGACATTCCTGCAACGCTTGGTACCCCTTCCAAGGCTAGCAGCATTTGCTGTGCAAATAACAAAAATAGTTTAACCTCGAAAGGTTTTCAAAGCATGTATCTCTAAGCAACACAGACCCGAGGTACGAGGAACTACGATCTTTCTTGACACCTTCCGACTCCAGTTCTTTCCGTTTTGGTTCCTAAACCCATTTTTGTTAGTATTACTTTTGTTTTGATTTTTTAACTTACGAATTGCTGTAAACGTAGCAACCTTTAACTTTGCAAAGCGTTTCCTTTCCGTTTTCTCACTGATCGCAATTGCTTTGGAGAGAAAATCATCTTTATGCTATATTTTGAAACCTAAGTTTTTTTTTACAGATTTATGTTACATTCAATAACTGCAGTGATAGTCACAAACAGCAAGCATTACCTCATATGATATAAGCCCATCCTCATCTTCATCTTCAAGTGTAAACGCACGGCCGTACATTTCCAGATGACTCCGGTTTACGAGTCGATACTGCGCTATATAATCAATCGTGGAGTCTGCAAAACAAGCAATGATTTACCAGGGTATGTCAAAACAAAACTACAGTGGAACGGTCGCTTATAAACATTAAGGACAGTTTTTTATTTCATCAATTTTTAAATCAAAAGAAAATTATAGTTATAAATGATCAAAGGACAATTTTTTTTTCATTTTATCGGTTCATCAATCAAATGAAATACCTTTACGCGTTTTTATGTCGGCTTGTCCAATCACGTCACTCATGGCTTCCCTATTAGACAAAACAGAAACGCTTTACTGTGACAAAAGACGGATCGTTCATTTAAGAGTCTTCGTAGCCAACAAAATCATGGCTTAACTGACAGACGACCAATAACATATCGCGAGTTAATTGACCAATCAGGTCGATAACTAGAGTTGACGAGATACAACTCACTTTGATTAAGAACATGACTACCCCATAGACAGTGCGAACGTCAAACACTGCAGTCCTATTTTGGACTACACTCGTCGGGACGATCATATTCCACCTATTAATTACATGACTCCTGGGTTCAAATCATTCACAGAAAGGATTAATGTGATGTAAGAGAGAGATCAAGGTAAGATAGTTGAAATAGTTGCTACCACGCAAGACTTGATTACAATTTGGTCAGTTCTCGTTCGTGTTTTCCTCCGCACAGAAGGGTATCGGATAGGTCGTTGAAAACTTGATATAAAGCAATTATGAGTCGGTTATCTTCTACCCCACTGGTATTCAGACACTAGAAAAAACGAAAGAACTCTCTTAAATTCTTAAATAGCAAAGGCTACACGTTATCTTACTTTAAGACACTTTTTAATCTCTTTGCCAGTTCTGCTCGTTCCTTAAATGCCGCGTTCACTCTCATCACTCCACGAACTGAGGAAAAAAATGGAACCAAGTAACGGCATGTGACTGATTATCGATTATTCATCAAAAAACAATATTCCTGTTTCTGATTCACATTTTAGTAACCAGTAACCTACCCTTTGGAACAACTTGCTTTTTTCTTTCCTGCTCTTTTTTCTCTTGTTCTTTCATCTCCTTTTCTTTCTCTACATTTTCGTTAGTTTCAGTCCTCTTTATTTCTTCCAACTCTGTTTTGACCTCATCCTTATTACTATCATTTCTATTAGGTACCGTCTCCTCCCCAGTCCTCTGCTCTGTGGACAGTTCATCTTTACCAGTCTCCTCGCTCACAGTTACAGGTCCTTCTTCAGCAATCTCCTCAGTTTCTTCGAATGGCGTTTGACTAACCACCACAGAATCATTTTCGCTGCCGTTATCTTCTTCTTCAGGTTCTTCTTCTGCTTCTTTTGGTTTCGTCTTTGAAGGTTTTTCTCTTTCTTTATAAACAACAGTCCGTGATATGACTTTCTTGGAAGGTTTTGCTTTTCTAATTGAATTGCTGGAGTATACAGACGGTTCAGGTTTGGAAGGAACATCCTCTTTTGCCAACGGTTCGTACAATTCAGGGTCCTTTAGAAATAGAAATTAAAACATGGTTCAGTACTATAGTTTTTTCTTTTTCTTCTTCTTAAGAAAACAAAAAAAGTCAAAAATCACCCAATAGCCACAGCTGTCCCAACCAGATACTGTTTCATCAGGCCTCAATGAGTATCAGGACTTAAGAAACATTAATCTTTCCCTAAATGGGAGCTAGCCCTGATCAAAGGGATGCTCCCTGCATTTTGTCCCTTAGCAAAGATGAGAGGTTTACCGGCCTCAGGGCAGTGAAATAGATTGACGAACTTGACGAGGTTTCTTTGCTTCCCACCCCTCTATTTGCACACGCCTTAATTCTTCACCTCCATAAGGAAAAAAAAAAACGGAATTTCACAACTATATACAGATATAGAAGCCATTAGGTCCTCGAGACGATGCTTGTTTATTTTGTGCTTAATAAAAGTTCTGAAGAATGGGTGATGTGTTCATTTCTCCACCAAGCTTAACGTCTACCATCTTTCTTTGTTTATCAATAAGTCCTGTGCGCATTCACAACTTAGTGTGTGCCCCAGAACTGTTTTCCAGTTGTTTTTAAACTACACAAGTTACATCAATAAATGATTATCTAGACTAAATACCTCTTCTTCCTGTGCCTCCGGCTCCTCGTCCATTTCTGTCTCTATTTCTTTTTCTAGGTCATTTTCTTCGTCCACGTTTAGAGACATTTGGTTCCTTTTTGCTCTGACGCGTTTAACATTGTTCAAGTCTTTCTTCTTTCTCTCTGTAGGAGGACCCCTATCAATTTCAAGCGAGATCTGAGGATACTTATCTGACAATTTTCACTTTTTCCTAAGCCTCTTTATAAAAGGTAGACCTGTGCCGAGTTGTTCGAAGCCTGGCCTTCCAGTGATATGCGCTTCCCATTCCCAAAACCCTAGTGATACGGGCATCCCCTTCTCATATTACCTTAGCGATTTGTGTTAGAGTCACAGGGAATGCCAATATCATTAGGATGTTAGGAATGTGGATGGCCAAAACGCCCTTTTCATGTTTAAAGCTGTTTTTTTATGTTTCGCACAATTTGGTGACAGTTCCCTTAGTTTGAATTTTGAATAAATTTCGTAACACAATTCAACAAGTGACACACTTCGATACCAAACCACGATCTCGCGACCCTGACTTGTATACTGACTTGTATGAAAATAGGTTCAGTGTCAATGTAATTGAGAAACTTTACTCGCAATTAAAAGACGGTCTATTGAAGAGGCATTGAACTAGAAGACTACATACGACTAATCATCAGTTAAAGTAAGTTGCACAGTGAAACAACTGAGGATGGACCAATTTTGAAAAATTTGGATTCTTACCTGCTCTTGCGTTCTTTCCTCCTTGTTTGCATGTTCTGGGACTTAAAAATAACAAAATTAATTTAAAAGTAGGTCCAGCTTTAAAGTTGCATTTGTCTTGTGTTTTGTATGCACGCTATACAAGCCTGTATTGCCTGTTAGTTTTAAAACAAATACACGAGCGCTTATTAGCCACACCAGCCCAAACTACGCTTGAGCTGAACCCGAATTCTGTAGTCTGTAGCAGCTTGAAGTTTTACTTCTCTACTCTGGACATAATAAATAGCGGAACCCATTATCCTCTCTTGAGATAATGCACACTTTTTATCCCATAAGAAGGGTTATCCATGAGCGCCGGCTGATGTACTTCTTTTCCTGATTCATGGGAGACAGTGAAGAGCTAAATTTTGTCTAAGAAACATCGTGATGGGAAAGCAAAGGCTCGAAAACGCATTCAAACGCGCGTAGTATTACATCGCCTCCACTCAGTTCCAAACATACAAGAGGCATTTCTTGAAGCTAGTATGATTGTCTTTTCAATTTTTGATAATTTGTTTACAAAACTAAAACCACACCTAATTTATTGATTTTAAGGTTTACAACGAAATGTCAGGGAGAGTGTAGATCTCTTTTCTAATAGAAATGAAAGTGGCATCTTACTATGAAAATTGGCTCGATCTAGTATGTGAAAGGAATTAGCAAAGGTGTTTTGTTCAAGACTGTACAGTAGTCTCCATACCTGATCTGCGATACTTATTTCTTCACCATGTTCTGATTGGCTACGCCTAAGGGAAAGTTCGTCTTTTTCTGCAGAGGAGATCTCGGGTCTTGAATTCTCTATAAATGATGGTAAGGAAACTTTTTAAGGAAACGATAGCAAAAGGTGTATTACAAATGACGTTATAAGTTCTAGTTCGTCATTTTATCTCCAGGGTACTTGTTATACACGTCGCGCGAGAAACAGCTAATTTACACGTAGCAACGTCCATTATGCCAATTTGTTTGATAATGTAACAACTCTTACCTATAAGAGATCTTTTCTTGTTCTCTTCGAAAGTTGGTTCGCCGTCAAAATCTAGACGCACATGAATAAAACACTGTTGCTGTGATATGTACAGTAATGGAGGGTTACTTCTAAGTGATTCACAGATAACTTTCAATAGATATAACTTAAAAGTCTTTTGGCCCATGTTGGTGAGGCTTTAGAATAAATTTTTCACTTAAGCGTTGTTGCCATCGTCTCATCTGCTACAGCTATAAGTCTAGAATCAAAATCAAAACGAAAATCTGTCGTTTCTCTGATTATTACGAGTGTTGTTATCATTGTTATTAACATCAGTTTAATCATTAAGTAATTTAGTTATCATCATCTTCATCATCGTTATCGTATTTTAGCAGCAAAGTTTCGTGAGAAAATACCCCGGGTAGAATGAATGCAAGTGCGCATGTCACTCAGTAGTAACGCATTTACAGGCATTACTTCCACTTACCATCTGACCCAACATTTCCATCTTCTTCCTCTACCTCTATATCTTCGCTTATTTTTAGCCTTCTACAAGCAGATGTGCATTTGTATCTTGGCTTATTACAATTCTCGCAGATATCCCTGCAGGCACTGCATGGTCCACCCGGCCGCTGACACATAGTACCGCACGTCGCGCAAAGTCCCTGACACTCGGAAATATGGGCTCCGCATCGATAACAGTCAATTCCTCTGCACCTTACGGGCCCGTCTTCTGTGGTACTTCTTCCGTGACTCTCCCTTGAACGAGGCGCTTGAAATTGCTGTGTAAAATACATCAGGTCACTTTCGCTTAAGTCGTCTTCGTCACGTGGTACACGCATTCTTTGGCGAGGTGTTATGTCGTCAGATTCTGATCCTAATTGATAGAAAAATCATGATCATTATCTTGAATTATCCTCATCATTATCATGAATTATCCTCATCATTATCATGAATTATCATCATCGCTATCATAAGTTATCTTCATCTTTATCATCGTAAGCGTTAGCTTTAAAGTACATTGAGCAAAATGGAAAGCTGGATCAGGCATGAGTAATTTTTCTTACCCTATATGAAATTTACAGCCACCCCACACACCCCTGTAATGCAAGAAATGGGAAACTTTTTTTTTTGTCATTTGTATCTTCCGTCATTCTAGATGCTTGAGGTAAAAGTTTTCATAAATTCAACCGTCAAACAGTACGTAGCGGAAAGACGAGACCCTCGTGGACGCAGTAGAAACAAATGCTCTGTTTGTTAGTGAGCCAACGCTAAAAACTGAGATGTGACACACACATGACAATGACACGAAATCATTATTCTCATTAGCCTCAGAAAAAAAGCCGACATTTTGTGACGTCACCACTGGTTTCCCACGAAATGTTTTATGACGTCTGAGGAAAGAGGGCTACAATTCCATACTGATGACGTGTCACAAACCAGATCTGGGTGGTGCTTCTTACTGTCTGAAGCAAATTGTAAACCAATGAAAATCACTACCGAGATCAGGGTAGTGACACGTCATCTAGGAAACCGGTGATGGTGTCGCGAAATGCCGGTTCTCTTTTAGGTTATTTTCGTTTATACTATACCTGAGCCAATTTTTGGAATAGGTTTAACGATCATCTTCCTGCTTGATTTCCTTTGTCTTACAGGGATCTCGCCCGCACTACCCTGCTGAATCTCCTCTCTACCAGCATCTCCTTTAAGTGTGCCTTTGTGTTGGTCCGTATCAACCAGCCTGCTCTCTTTTCTCCTTGCAGCATTAGAAACAGTCTTGTCAGATGCTTTTCTTAATTTCTCTTGTTTTTCAGTCTTACTAGTTTTCCCTTGACTGCCTTTCTGCCAATGATCCTCCTCACTGCTCGACATACTCAGCTCGCTAAGAGGATGAACGTGTAAACTGAAATCACTATCCCAGTCACTGTCCCAGTCGCCATTGGTTACAGGGGCTTTGTTGAAACCATCTTCTCCCGAAAGTCTTCGTGAATCAGAGCGTTCAGCGACTGCAAATAAGATAATAATATTTAGACATTAAAAGAGATCAAACCCCCTAGTGATATCGTTTTAAAGACGTTGTACAGCACATAAGAAGAAAATTTACTGAGACCTAAAGTTGGGTTTTTATCTCCCGGTCTTGCCGTATCTTCTAGTCTTACCTATTTCTCTTCTACCTTTTGATTCCTTTCTCGTCATCTCTTTCAATTCCTCCTTTTTCCTTTGATTTTTCCTCGCTTCGTTTCGAGCCTGTTGAATCTGAGCCTGTAATGAACTTAAGTCAGCGTTCTCTTCACTGTCAGCCAGATAGCCGTCTTGCTGCCTTGGCGATATTGTCATTGGCGACGAGTATTCTTCGTACTCCTAATAAAACAAAGGAAATGATACAGACTAAGCTATTCGCAATTCAAAAGCGCATTGTTTTCAAGTAAGACTTATTTGACTTCCTGGAAAACGATGTATGCTTTGGTACAATTATACCGGTAAACTTCAAACCAAGCCGTGAATAAAATTGAACAAGAAAATCTATGTTCCGAAAACGAGATGGAGGGGAATTATGTTGTTGTTCTAGAAGTAGGATCAATAGTCCATTCCTGAGTTCCCCCGGGCCTCTGTTTCAAAGTGAGGGTAGGCGCTAAGCCTTTGATGTGGAAATCATTTTTCATTCTCATGCAAATAAAACTCATTTTCACAAGAAAGGTTGCGCACCTAGCCTCATTTTGAAAGTGAAGGTTTTTGGAACTCGGAAGTGGCCTATTAGTAAGAAGAATAACCGCGATTAGCAACGTTGGAAAGTCTGTTGTTGCATTTCAGTGAAAACCACCAAAAATCGCTATTGAGCCTAAGTGTAATTTATGAGCAAAAAGATGGTATTTATTCACTAAAATCATTTACATGTTTGAAATAAAAAAGTACCTGATCAGATGGGGAAGGCTTGGAGGGTCTTCTCTCTAAACCAGAACGACGGGGTACACTACTCCAGTTGTCCGCTATGAATTCTGGATCAGATAAAGAGTCCCCGCTGACTCTTGTCTCAGGATTGATTATGAAGTCATCTTCGTCACTCAGTTCGATGACTGGTTCCGAAGAAAAAACAAGATCACGTCTGTCTAGGCCAACCGTGTAAAATGAATCCATTCTTGGTAAAGATGTTTTATACTTTTTAACTTCGTTATCTCTTATCGTTCCTTTTTTTTCTACATTCACAATTTCCTCTTCATCGCCAACGACTTCATCTGAGCGTGATGGCTTGTTTGTTTTTTGGTCGACGGGGATTTGCTTACTTGTTTTCCTCTTTCTTTTTGGCTTACTGGTCGCCTTTTCTTTTCGTGCAAATTTTTCCTCATAATGGCCATGTTTTCTCTCCTTTATTTCTGTTCTTTGTTCTTTTGACTTCCTACCCACACCTTTCACATCTTGATTACCTTGTATTAAATCACTAGCCTTTGGAGTTTCACCAGATGTCTTCCTGCGCAAGCGCACTGTAAATCCTGATTCTGGATCATAGTCTTCTATCATTTCAAAGTCACTCAAAAGGTCATCATCATGATCAGTTATATCGGACCAACAACTTCCGGTTTGCTCCGCATCACCCCACTCCCCACTTCTATCCTCATATTCTTTCGTCACTTCCGCTCGATCTGAACCATCATCCCATGCGCGTCGCACATCACGAGGTTCACTTATTTTATCGATGTCCGCCCCAGGTTCAGTTATGAATACACTGTCACCTGATTCTGAGCGTGGCATTTGGGAAACCTGGTATCTAGCTTCCAGTTCGTCATCTATTTCGCTTTGTCTGCTCATATGTAGTCTGAAAGACTCCATATCATCGTGCCAATCTAATGAGCTGGAAACTGGCGATACCCTCGTTTTATTTTTCGGGGAAGATCGCGATTCTCGTGCATTATTAAAATGCCTATGATCAACGATAAATCTAGAGTCCCTTCTACTCAAAGTGTCCAGAACGCTTTCATGTAAGTCGTTTCCAGTAAGTGCTTGATAATCCATAGTAGGAGTTCCACATTTATGGCACCGTTTGGGGGTAGCTAGTATCGTCCGAATTTTCCCTCGAGAGTTCGTGACCTTTTCCGTGACAAGCAACCTCGCGTTACATGATGTACACCAGTAGCCAGGAGAGAAATCGGGATCATACTGGCCTATTGAAGGAAGGACATCGAGAACCTGGCGAAACGAAAAACAAACAGGACGAATACATACGTAAGTCTGATAGTCAGTGGTGTTTGGTTTGAGAACAATCTACTACTTTTTCATCTCAGAAGAATGTTACAAAACTCATTCTCTCAGTTTCTACCCAAGGTGCTTAAAATAATAAATCAACTGAAAAAAATGTAAATCATATGCCCCTCAAACAATATTTTTGTGGTTCCTTATACAGTTTGGAGAAAAAAGGTTTAAGTCTGTTTGGAATTCCTCAGGTAGTGCAAGTCTTAACGATGGAAGAGAGGAGAACAGATAATCTTTTTTTTTTTTAATTTTTCGACTGGTGGTAACGGGAAGATTTCGTGAAATGAAAAAAAAAAACCTTTTTACCTTCCAGCTTAGTCTCCGGTAACCTCCGCCAACTCGTATGACAGGATTTAGTGCAAAAGCATCCTACAACACAACAAAAGTCCCGAATAAACCTTCGGTGTTTACCCTTGTGGACACAGCGCGCTGACCTCTAAAAAACTGGAAACAGGGGCCTTCAGTCTCTGATTTTGCAAATTTAATAATATGATGCAATTCCAATATGGCGAACATGGGGGCTCGTGAAAAAAAGTCAGATCGTGAAGTGTGGACCATGGAGTTGGTGGGGTTGGTTTGTTTTTTCAAGATTTTTAGTAAACAACAACAACAACAAGAACAAACGATCAATAGCATGCATAGTGTTTGCGAACAGAATGAATGAAACGTTCTGACTAATAATGGACTTCTCTTTACGACTGAGCAGTTCACCTCTGACTAATATGTGGGATCTTAAGCAACGACGACGGCAAACTCAGTGAGAACGAAAAAAAAGAAACAGGTTTAGATCGACAAAACAACAACTTTGCACGTGCATCACACTTTTTTGTACATTTTTTTGCCGTCATTGCACGACTACGACGTGAAAATGCGTATTTTCACGTTTTGTGGAAGACGTGAACACAAGAAAAGACTGTCTTTCTCCTTTCTTGAACTTCGATTCATTCTTTCAGAATTCAGCTCCAGAGAAAAACTGCCAACATTTGCGGACGAATTGAAAGAGATGGAATAAAATGCAGCACGACTTCACTTTTTTGTAGCCGTTGTCGTTATTAATTATGCTTGATCCCTAATAAGCACCCTAAGGTAGCAGCCATTTGCGAGAACATGAACAACCTGAAGAAATCTCATAACGTTGGAAAGTCACCTTCTAATAAGCTCAGACATTTTATTGCCGTGCTATAAGCCTTCTTTAACAGTTTGAACAGTGATGGTAGAATTACATAATTTAGTAACCGATAATTAGAATTTATTGTAATGAATTGTAAATGTAATGTATTGTAATTGTTTGTGTGTCCGAAATAAATAAATAAATAAATAAATAAATAAATAAAGAATTTTAAAGGGAAGGCCAGGTAGGGGATCTCTCGCACAGCTGAAATATTATTGCGACTGAAACTTACCCTATCGGACCTCTGGCTTCTGAGTAATCGAGGGCAAGGTGAAGTCAATTCTGAATGAGCAGTCTGCGAGAAAAAAAAATCAAAGTGAAGAATTTTGACAAAGTCTTGCATGTCAAGGACCCCTTTATGATGTTGGATCAGTGTGCACCGCGGGAACCTGGGAACCATTAGCTTATTGGCCATTTTCAGGTTGAGCATGAGAGTCGGTCGGTCGAATTGCATTATGGAGACGCTATCACTTCTTTCATTGGTTATTACGAATACTATTGCTATTACTGTTATTGCTTGTCAGGCAACCTAAAACTGACTGCCTCATGGTGTAATTTGATGCAACACCGACCCAGTCTGAGGCACAACCTCAAATTGGCTGAAACCAGACCTTCTTAAATGGCATTTTGCCACCATCTTTTAGGTAAGGTTTCCAAACCCCTTACCCTATTCCAGACAATTCCAGACTACTAACTATAAGCCAGAAAAACTCTATCCTTTGTCGCAACATACCCTTCTCTGGGTGTTCTCTCCTGATCTTTTGTCTTCCGCGGAGAGCACCTTTATGCTAAATGGAGGAGGATGGATGAAGCTGAAGTATTTTGAAACATCTGTGCCACGACTGGTCTGTTTGGTAAAAATCAAGACAGAAACAAAAATCGGTAGAAAGAGATATTTGATTGAGTAACGCGAAATTTCTGGGAGATTTAAGCCTCCCTGCAAACGGACGCAACATTGTTGGATGTTACATGCTGCGTCCGTTTGCAAACCCTGTTGCATGTTTTTGGGTGTAGTTGGAAGTTGTTGTATGCGTTTGAACACCACTACAACACGGACGCATCAACACGCAACAATGTTGGTGCAACAATGTTGGAAGTTGTCTCGTTCGTAAGAAAGTAGCTTAATTTTCTTATTATTGAAGTATTTTATGATAAAAGATTGTCTCATTAGTTTTCTTTAGACAATTAAGATTGACGGTTCCCGAGCAAACAAAGGAAACAAGACTGAAACTGTCCTGCGATTTACTGGTCTTTCACCATTTTTAATCAGGTCAAGATAAAATTGAATGAAGCAATTTTTTTTTAAAGTTGGAGTGACTCAAATTCGCTACTTTAGAAATGAGAAGGGAACTGGAGCCAAATGCTTCCCACTATTGTTTCTGGGATTGTTATTGGGGACGCCCATTCAGATATTGGCGAATTTGTTTTCCCTGTCCCCAGCAACATTCCCAGAAGTGTGAAAGTCTTGAACCCAGGAGTCATTTCATAAGTAACAACAACAACAACAACAACAACATAAGCGTTATTTGCATGACTATAATTATGTAGTTACAGTATTGCAAAAGCTTTAACATAAAAAAAAAACAAACAAACAAACAAATCATTACAATGATAATGCAATGCAATAATTACTATAGTAGGTGAAGCATAATCGTTCGGGTGATCTTAGTCCTGAATAGGACTGTTGTTGACAGTGACTGACGCCTCGATCACCCCTGCGGTAGTCATCTTCAGAGTCAAAGTGAGTTGTATCATGTCAGGATGGTATTAAACTCTGGTTATTGATCTAATTGGTCAGTTAAGTCGTGATATTATTGGTCGCCTGTCCTGCAGTTAAGCCGTCATGTTATTGGCTTTGAAGTCCCAGAAGTCTTCGTTAAAATTAACTCGGTCCAGTTTCCTCTCATTTCTTAAGTGGCACGTAAGCAATAGGCCGTTTCCGAGTTCCACCGGGCCTCTGTATCAAAACGAGGTTAAGTGCTCAGCGATTGATATGGAAATGATTTTTCATTCTCATGCAAGTAAAACTCATTTTCACAAGAAAGGCTGTGCACTTGGCCTCATTTTGAAAAAGAGGGTTTTTGGAACTCGGAATTGCCTATTGATGTCTTACCAACACTGTTGGATCCATTTTTGGAAGCCGTTGAACTACCCGGATGTGATTCCTTTCTAACCAGTCGTTCACTAACTCTTCCTGGCAAAATCCTGCGCTTGGAGAGGAACACCGCTGTATCTGCCATTTACTCAGTGGGCTCAATTGTTTGTTTTCCTGTTGATGATCGGGATTTGCTGTTGCTGGTGTCGTTAAAACAAAATACCATTAATTTCAGGTTCAATGTTTTCATGTTCATATGATAATCGCTACCTAGCATGCAGGCATTCTTAAGCAAATAAAGCTTCCGCTTCCCTCTTTTTTACTCTAGAAAACAAACAACTAAACAAACAAACAAAACAAGAACAAAAACAAATAAACAAATGAAGAACATCAGGACTGACTTCTCTTGGCTTGATTTCCGAAAAAAGGCGTTAGATACACAGTGCTGGCTGTTGATCAGTAAAACCCGCACCTTGAAGTTCCTTATAAACATGAAAAATTTAAAGCAAAGTAGTCTTTGAAGTCTGGCGTTCAGACGTTGTACCAGTTACACTGACGAACGAGAAGACTGTGGGAATGAGCCGATCCCGAGTTGCCTTAAGCCTCTGTTTTAAAGCGAGGCTAAGTCTGAAGCCATTGATATGAAAATGACTTTATATTCTCATGCAAATTAAAGCTCATTTTCACAAGAAATGTATTGCACTTAGCTTCGTAATTTTGGGAACTCGGAAATGGCCTATTTTATGCCTCTCCACGATGAAAGTGTTGTCAAAAGGGCCTGATAAGGGTATAGAAGTATCTTACTATAACGTTAGAATGAATAAATGTCTGCATGACGGCGCTTTACGCCGTTCCCCCAGTCCGTATCTCCAGGGTAATTATTCTCCCCTTGACAGGTATTTAAACATTCATCTGTCATGTCATTTTAAGGAACACATCAACTGACTTCATTTTAATAAACTAAACGGAAACAGTGTCTACAATTTATCAAAAGATTATCCCGTTAATCCCCGCTGCTAAATCACCATTTAATTTCATCGACTTAGTTTTTCTTTTTCAAACAAAGCAAAATATTTCTAAACCGTCAAATATATATTTCTTCATTCTAAAGAATTAATTTCAGGAAAATATACGAATAAATTATTAACGATTTCCTTACAAAGCAGCTCTGTGACTCTTGAAAAGGCAAAGTACATGTAATTTTCAGATTACAAGTGACTTACAAATCATGGCAGTTTATCCGACCTGTTTTTTATTAATCTTAGCGGTTTCCTTAATTGATTTGGCTAATGCTCGTTATTTTTAAATCGCAAATATCGAGAAAACCATGTTTCGATGCTAAAAAACCTTACTAAATTTTTCAAACCTAAAACAGGATGGGCTTTTCGTTTAACCTGTTTTAACTGATCATTTATACTAACGACCGTTAACAACAAAGGAAAATATTCCCTACGTGTCTAAACTGGGAGAAAAGCTTTCACCGACTTTTAAATCGTGATTAGTAAAGAGGTAACTTTTTGAAAGTGGTGATCAGGTTTGCGTTATATTTACAACTTTGGCGATACATTGGATCGATGTGCACCATTCATAACAAATCTTTTTTACTCGCCTTCATAGACGATATTACAGTCTTCATGTAATATTTCGACCCAGTTCGAGACCCGTGAATATGTCTGGTAGCTTACTTTCGATTTGACTTTGACTCATCGAAGACGTGTCAATAAATTTTCAAGGAATCAGCTAAGCCTTAAAACATCGTTGTTAACATTGTGTGATATTAGGAAGATAAGAAAGAAAAAGTAATAATGTAACCTGACTGAATTGTCTAAATCAGGAAGAAATATACCTGCAAGAAAAACAAAATACTGGACCTCTTTGGATAAAAATTGTCGGAAAAACCACAAAACCACAAAATAGGGTAAAGGAAAATATAGGGTTTACTTATATTTGCTGGCTTCTAAAGCTCAAATAAAACATAATAAATTTGGACTGCTTACCTCGAACAGGCGGTAAAGCGATCACCCCTTCTTTTCTGTGTTCCATGCTTTGATCGATCCTTGTTCGTGTGTCGATAATAGAACGTTGTACTTTAGCAAACCTAGATTCTTGTCTGGAAGCGAGAAGGGCTGATGTTTGGCCATTTTGAGCCGACATTTCATCTATTTTCGCCAGATAAACATCTGCAGCTAAATGGTTTCCATGGAAAACCGTTCGAAGGTAATCAATAATTCATCCGATAAATTTAACTGTCAGTCGCAGGTGACTGAAAAATCTCGGCCAAGACAAACGTAGTGCCTTCCAAATGACCGCATTATGAAGCCGTTTTTCCCATTTTTCTTTAAATGTATCAAAAAGGAAACGACATTGGAAATTTAACTAAGATCTGAAAGTGGTTTGTTTCTTTCACAGGTGTAAAAAATAACACAAGAAAAGAAAGGAAATAGGCAAGGCAATTTGTATGTAAATTAAATAAGCTCGGTCTACGCCGATCGCAATTCAATATAGTATGTTATTTCTAACGAGAAACAAAATAATTTGGGGATTTCTTCAAAAATTTCTACAATGCGATTTGGCAACCAAGGAGATCCTTTGAAGAGCATATCGATTATTCTTAAGATCAAGAATATTTAACATAATATATGTACAAAAGCCAATATGGTCTCGTATTTGTTTCAGACGGAAATGAAATACAAAGGTGCAAAATTTGTTTCTATTTTCTTTTCCTTTAAGTTTTAGGATATCCAAAGAATAAACGTGGGTCAATCTTTTGCATTCGGATGAAGGTTTCCATAAGCTCGCTTGACCGAAACAGTTTTCACCATTACTGTATTAAATGTCGACGTGGTTTTCACGATAATGAGTTCTCCGGAAAGCCTTTTTAAAAGTAATTATAGCGATTGCAATGATCGTGGTGATTGCACGCAAACAAGCCGTGATCATCGAAAAACGATTGCTTTCATGAGGCGTCATTTAGGCGAACGTGAAGAGTCGATGAAGAGGGCGAGACTTATGAGGCCCTGATCAAACCGAGAACACTCAAGTGAAATCGGTCTGAGATGAGCTCTGAGATCTGTACTGAGATTACATTACGCACGCGTTCACACTTAAGACTTCTCAGTAATCAAACAGTGAATTAGTAACTAGCGAGGACTATGCAGATTGCGCAAAATTAGAAAACTAGATCCGACTCTATTATCTTTTTGGCGCTGGATTCTTGACTTTTCGCACGAATCACTGTAGTTATTGAATTCATGTTTTTTAAATGCTTTTGCCTTTTTCCGGTACCTCTTCCAGTCCCGTCCCTAGCCTGCGTAGCTGGCGGTATTGTCTCAGTTCGCGATTTAAGTTTTTGCAGTGGAGCCGTGATCGAAAAAAAGGGAGTGGGGCCGAGGGTGTTTCTATTTCTGTTTCAATTTTCTATTTCGCCGCCAAATTTCACTCGACTACTACACAAAAAAACCGCCCGCTACGCGGGCTATCCCGTCCCTTGAAATAACCCTGGAGACGCGACATTTTCAGGAAACCAAGTAGGCAAGAAAGATTAGAAATAACAATTAACGCGAGGAAGAGGCACAGTAAAGCCAATCGTTAAGATGGAGGCTGTGATAGTGAAAATAATCTGATCATGCACAACACAAACTCAGAAATAGAAGCCATTTATTGTTTCAAAATCTGCTCTAATTCAACACGGCGAGGCGCTTCTTGTGGCTGAAAAATATCAAGATCATAACCGTACAATACTGAATCACTGCGTGTCACACCAAGACTTTTGTCGTCACACAAACCTATTAAGGCAACTGATGAAGGCATCCTCTTATATTTCAAGTGACGACAAAAATCCACGCCTCGTTTGTAACAAGCGGCATTTTCTCCCATTTCCTCGCATTTTACAGGAGAAAAGTTATTGCATGAAGATAGCGGTTGCTTAGTGTAGAAACTGTTGCCCAATGAAATGTTAACCATTCTGCCTTAGCAATGTGACTCCAAGGAATAAAGGTAATTCACAACAAACAGTTTTGCTGTGGCCCTCTTAATTTCTAAAGTAAACGGACATTATTTCTCTATATGCTACTTTTTTTCACACGATCGGCATTAGTGAACTAGCCGTCCAAATAAAGCAATAAGAACAGCATCAGTTATCCAACTGGGACCTGCAAGTCCAGTCTAAGTCTATTTCTTCCAGTCACAACATAACATATTGACTGTCATTACCCTTCTAGTCCGGGAGAAGGTAGAGTGCACGTTCTTAGTCAAAGCACAAAATCCGAACAGTTTCCAGCAAAGTGCTTAACAAAACTGAAGTACTTCAAACAGCACGTCTTATAAAACGCTGTTTACGATTGAACAACAATTAGAAAAATTCTCGATTCGCACTTTGTGACATATTAGGAGCTTTAAGTCTTGTCTTCATTTTTTTTTAGCGTGGTCAGGTCACAAATAAAATGCCTCTGAATTTCACGGCATTTTGTCAACAAAGGACTTTGTGGCAGTTTCCAGTCCTGGTCCTGAAAGTTTCATGGTTCCAGTAGATGAACCGTGCATGTTTCAAGCCAAACCAAAGCCTTCCGGACACTCGTCCACGGCTTTGTTCAACATGGATCGTAGTTTGTCGTAGGTCTCGTAAGCAGGTAGATCAAGTTGGTTGAAACTATAAAAAGGAAAGAGAAACAAAAAAACAAATTGAGTAAAACAGAGCGAGGATGTGACGCACAGATCTATTAAGAAAAGGTGAAACGGGCAACAAGAACGAGCAACTTGCGTTACGACATTGCCGCAAAACTGGTCGAATAATGATGTTGCGCGTTTTATCTCCCACGAATAAAACTTTGCCACAAAATCTGTACATATTGCCCGTTTTACCGGCCCAAGGGAAACTTGTTTTGCTACAAGTGATGTCAATTCAGTATATGGCGTGACTCCCACGTAATTTTGTCCAGTCTGGAGTCAGAACTAACATGATCTGAATTTTCCTCAGTTCGCTGCATTGCCTATTTTGAGAGACACCTCTCATAAAGCGTCACCTAGACTTGGTCTCTGCCGTTCTACAGTTGTTTTCTTTGGCCTCTTGGAAGAGCAGACATAGCTCTGAAAGAATGACCACGTCCACATGTTGTCGTCTTAGACAGGGTTGACTAAGAATGCGACTTATTACAAATGAAACAGTAAACACTATTAGGAATCAAATCGTTCAAACTTACCACGTGTGTGCTGAGGGTAACCTGTCCGTGGATCGATCGTCTCGGTGGATTTGGAACTTCTGGAATCCATTCATGCCCTCTAGGGCGGCGAAGCCTTGTAACGGGACCTTGCTTGTACCGGTGACGAACTGAAGGAATTTAGCACGATCTGCCTGGTCGAAGGATCTCAGGGCTCTCCAGAACCATTGAATCTATTATATAAAAAAAAACGACATGGAGATTTAAGCCCCTAGATTGAGCATAGCTTCATAAGATTAATCATAATAAATGTTTTCCATAAATGATGATGAGATGTAATGAAATCCAGAAATTTTGGTTGGTCAAATTGACCCTTCAACGGGTTTTTTAAACTTTTGACTGGGCGAAAATCCATCAACTCGGCTGAAAAATGCCTTAGTATTAGTAACGATGCCAAGTTTTAACGTGATTGGTTGAAAACTAGCGTTGATATTGCTCCGCAAAGTCGCCTAATTTTACAGACGTTTGTATGGTGGGAGGTAAGTTCGTGCCACCCACAATACAAACGACTGTAAAATTTCGCGACTTTGCGCACGCTTTTAACGCATCACCTTATAACTTGACAAGTTTCTTAATTTTAAGGCACTCCTTGCACCAGTGTCCACAGATTTTCACTAGCCTAGAAGAGCATCGCCCAGAATTACGCGACACATCCGGGAATTTTAAGCCCACTCCGAACGCCAAATTTGAAACGATGATCAGCGAACCGAGGCCAACACAAAGAAATAACGGCCAAAACTGTTCACAGTGGCTCACGTTTTTCACGTTTTCGCTTTTACTATGTAAAAATGATTAGTGTCAGCATATGGATTTTGTAGAAGAGACCTCAATAAAAAAATACAAAACCACTGCTGGTTTTGTAGTCTTTGTAGAATGGCTTAGAACGTGGTTATTTTTCTTTAGACATAAGATTTTCTCGCTCAAATAACCTGCCCTGAACATTTAGCACGCCCCAGCAGGAAGAACTGACCTGTAGCGAACTCTCCGTGTATTTGTGGTACTCTGTGTTAGCTTTCAGGTCATCCAGGTCGATGTTCGGCAACCCAGATATGAGCAGCTCCAGCTCTTGTTCATCAAAGATTGATATCAGTCGCTTGGGAATGATCTCGTAGAATCCTTCCAGAAAGGAATCGATCTGTTTTCTTATGGCCCCTGTCATTTTCATCTGACACACCAGTTTCACGTACTCTTTCTTGTTCTCCTCCGTGACAGGAATGTTTCGACCAGTGGGTTTTAGATCGCGGATTTCTGATAAGCCAAACTCTTGCACCTGAGAATAAAGTCAAAGTTCGAACGAATCAGTGGACAGATTGTAGGATCAAAGGAGGAAGAAAAGATATGACTCAAGACGTCTTGCTATTTAGATCTAACGTTAAATGTACCATTATTTGGAATAAACACAGGAGAAAATTCAATTCAGGTCTGGTTACGAGAGTGACGTTACCACTGATCTTATATAAATGTATTTCACTCCTATATACATGTCCAGATGTTACCATGTGCGGATTTCTTTTAAAATGTGAGCTTCGAGTTGTCTATGTCGCTCTTCTTCGTCTTTATAGTTTTGAAGTCCCTAAATACCTAAACCCTTACACCCTGCATAATGTTGCAACGCGTATTCAACGGACCTGTAAAGCCTTAAACCTTTAGGTCCCCAGAGTGATCAACATCAATTTTCTCCTAACAACATCAGCAGATCATCAAAAGTAAAGGTTATAAGAATTACTCAATTGATTACCAAAGAGAGAATGTTTTGATCTTAAACCAAATTCTCTCAACTATTCTTAAAAGAAATGTACGGAGATCAGTCTGGAGAATTTGTATGAAGATCTTGGGGCTTAAAGCCTTCAAGAAGCTGTGTCGCGAAATTTATCAAAATTCAACAAAGGGAACCAGCACCAACCTGAGTGAAACAACAAAAAAAAACTGCTCAAAACATGAAGAGGTGCAAATAACACCGCAAGTACAAAAGGCAAGGATGGAAGAAGATTGACACGGATTGCAATAATGGTTGTTGAAAACTTGTTAGCCTGACAGTTTTTGAAAGTTCAATTTTCTTGTTTGTAACGTTTGATATCATGGCTGGGAGACACATTTGTTTGACGCGAAACTGTGATTTAGGGCCTGTTTGCTTGGAGGTGGGGGACCCCAGGTAGGTTTGGTAACCGGCTTAGATGGGGTAACCCGCCGCGCGTTACCTCAATTACGTGGGGTCCCCCACCTACATGTAAACAGGCCCTTAGTCACTAGAAATTTTTTTTCATGAGTTCCATAGAGGATAAAAGTGCAATACTGGCATTATCAACAAAATGAACTGGAGAGTCCACAGACAGCCCCGATAAAGAACAACACGGCAGCAGGACAACAGAGCAAGTTTGCATGGCCTATTACCTCAGTGCTAAAGGTGAGTTCCATCCCAATATCACTCAGATCATGGTCCAGTAAGTACTGTAGGCCCTGATAAAACGAGTAGTCGAACGACTCCAGGTCTGTGAAGTGCACAGGCTTACCAAGAATGTGCTTGTAAAAGGAACGGGTAAAGAAGCAATCTAGAAGCTTGTTGTCGTAAATTGCTTTCGCCACAATCCTGGAAAAGAAAGAAGAAACAAACCGGGTTAAAATTTAACCCCAGGTTAGCGCTAACCGGTGTTCGAACAACTGGGCCCTGTTCTTGTCACCCAGCGTTGCCGCGGTAACGTCAGGTGCGAGCAAACCAGCAATTTAGCAGTCAAAGTTATAATTTTAAGTTACGTCACACTTACCTGCCAACGAATTTGAAGTAACTCAGGTGATTTGAATTACAGTTGGAGCTTGGATTCGGTTGGTAGGTGACTCGGTCTCCAGGGGACGTCGTAAACAAAGCGTAGTTGGGGTTAAACATTTCTCGAGACATAATGACAAACCACTCCCTAAGCAATCCTCCCGCGTCTTGCCCCTCTTCCCCTTCAAAAACCACGTACAGCCTGCATTTCATCTCTTCCGACGATCGCCGATGAAGTTCTCGGAACGAATCTTCGAACACGTGTTCTCGCCGCACGTGGATTGTCAAGTCATCTCGTCGGATTCCTTCGTCGAGTCGCTCGAGCTCTTGTCGGAAAAATCTGCGTTTGACGTCAAAGTCGAGTACACGAGTGTGGTCTACGAGGACTGCAAAGGGTCCGTCTGCTAGATGCACGGTAGACTGGCGAAGGATCTGGTTCAACACGGTGCGGTGCTTCTCTGAAACAATGATTAAAAAACAGTAACCGAAGTTTCGCCCTTTGAATTCGCAACGGAGTAAAATTTATAGTCATACGATCAGTCACAGATATATTTCTCAGCTCTGCCGCTTATTCTTGCGACGCCCTTTGTAGCTGTACATCAAAGCTTTATCAATCAGTCAGTCAATCCATCAATCAATCAAGTAAAGTGGTTAACCGAGAGTAAAATAAAACACTTCTCACCAGCAAATCGAAGAAACTTCAGCGTATCTGAAGGCAAGTCTGACGTCACAGAGGTGACTGACACGTGACGACTTGGGCTCAGAGGGCCTGGGGAGAGTGGACCTGGAGATGGAGGCATGATTTCCGAACTCACTGACGACAATCGCGGATTAGAGCGCTGCTGCTCGCTTTGGTTTTGGGTCGAACTGCTTTCCTGTGAAACAATATTCGAAATTTTCATCTTAGCAATGTATTTCGCAAATCTCATCATCCAAAACACAACTTCACACTATCAGCCGAGTCTTTTTTAACAAGCAAGACGGACACTCAGTCAGCCCGTCTCGGAGGTGTTCGTCTTAAGAGAGTTGACTTTACATTTTTTTTCTTCAGGTAAATGTAACCTATTACAACCTTTTGAGCCCCTAAAAGAAATTGACCATTCAAATGAAACTACTTCAGCAGTATTTTCAGATGGTACTATTCATTTACTAGGTAGTTGTAACTCCGGAGGCTGTGGACGAAATACCTTCGTGTGACGGTTATAATAAACCTCTTCAGTAGAACTCTCGCAAGGTGCTATCAAGTCTGGTTTGTCGTTCTTACTTTGAAGACGACAGTATAAAGTTGTGCGGAATGCGAAAAACTGAGCTTCAACGCCTTTTGGAGTACTTAGTCAGACAAGAGCAAGTCCTGTTGTTTTAACTACCACTGAGTACCTGTTTCTCAGTTCCATGTACAAGGAAGAAGGCCTCTACAGCAGGCTGTAGTACCAGTACAGCATGACTGTCAGAAGTTCTTCCAAGCTCAGAAAGACACTCCCCTAATGTGTCCCATAATTCCTCCAGGTTGACTTGTTCACTTAGAAGGGGAAGCTCAGGTTCTTGAGGGGCTCCTGATGTGGACGCACCTGCTGGGATGAACAAGCAAATTCTCCTTACTCATTTTTGTTAGAGCCTTCGTACACAGGTTGGGGGAATTTATTGATTGTTGGGTAATTGACTTTTTTTTGTATGAATGACTGTGCATCATGCCTCGATCGAAAGCGGCCGATAGCAGGTGTCAAATCCGGTACCTTTTGCTCCGAAGGTTGCGCGTTAACGCCGTGCGCTACGAGAACAATACAAATGACCTTACGGAAGGACTATCACAGCTGTGTTACTGACTATAAGCCAGTAAGCACAAAAAAAAAAAAAGAGAATAGTTCTTTCTGATAATGCTGCATCAGATAAAAAACATACTAGATGTTCAAAGAAGCCACATGTGATCGCAGCAGCTGTTTTGATTTATGTGAGTACAAAATTATTCCGCAGAAACATTTTTTGCGCCTCATGTTAAGTTATGACGAGTTGGCGCCTCCTGAGAACAATGCGTCAGGCTTTCTTTTTTCCGTGCCGTGGAAGTCCCTGTATTTTTAGCAGAATACTCCGTAGGACTTTCCTGGTCCGAGGACTCGACGCACTAACCTTGCTGCTCACTTGACCCCTCCTGTCCACCCCCGTCAGGTCTACTTCCACCTTGACTGTTTTCACCGCGAGGTCCAGGTTCATTCCGCTGACCACCAGCTCTACCATGGTCGGCGCGCAGAGAGCGCATGTGCGTGAAAGCTTCGTATATGGCTTCTGCTTCGCTTTCGATCGCTGCGATGACAGCACCAAGACCACGCGACCCTTGCACAAGCCGCTGAATAACTGAACTTTCATCTGTTACTGTAATGTAATGAAATAATGGAAGGGTTAACCACCAAGTCATATTTTTCCAGTTTGTCCCTGAGTAAAATCATCGTAATGTGTCTTTTAAGTGTTAAAACTAGTTTTCTACTTACGTCTTCTTTGCGATCCTCTCCCTCTGAACACCGTGGATCCGGTGACAGACCTACGAGCCGCTTCCCTGAGCTGCAGTACAACCTTGAGTACCCTCAGCAGTAACGCCTGGCTGGAAGTCTTGCATGTCAAAGCTGGCATTGAAGGTAAGTGAAGATCGTAACGCACTTGTCTATTCTGCTGTTGTCTCCGCGCTCGAGATCCACTCGGCGCTGTTGCCCAGCCGGCTTGGTGTCCACCCCTCACTGGTCTCCGAGGAGCTGCGGGGAGAACAAGCGACGCTGGTCGCTTACCTACGAAATGAAGTTATAACATTAGGCGTGACTAAGGCGGTAGAGCGTTTGCATTATCCCTTGGCACTATTTCTTCCAAAAGAAGTCAGAAGCTTCTAATGCTACATATTTTCTACAAAAAATGACCCAAAGGTTTGACTGAACTAGTCGGGTTCTTTTCTCTCACGAAAACGTATCACAGTACCCCTACGTGCTGCAAAGTGGAGAGAGATATACTTCGATTGCCGTCTACATGTCATCAGAACGGATGGTTACAAAGGCCCCGGTTGCTTAAAAGGTGGATAACTCTATCCACTGGATGAATCACTAACTAGTGAAGAGCGCTATTGGCTCCCCTAATACTTACCGGGTGGATGGCGCTATCTAACGTTTAAACAACTGGGGCCACATCGATTATGGATACCGGTCTAGCGAGGCAGGGTTTAGTCATTAGGATGATTGGCACGTTTAACTGAATAAAGGTCAAAGAGATGCTAGGAACTGTTCTATTAGAATACAATTTTTGATATGGATAGGGTGGCTAACAGTAGCTACATGAAGAAGGATATTATAATCGCCATGAGGCGAGCATCGAAGAAAACAAAGAATCGGGGTAGGGGCGGTTCAAACCACAATACTACTGACCTTTCTTGGATTCCACTTCGTCTCTCTGGGGAGCATTCCTGTTATGTTCTATAAGTTCTACCAGCAGCACTGCAATGTTCTCTTGCAGGGTGCTTCCTATGCTGCGCGCCCCTTCTAGCAGAAGTTGTAGCACGCTGTCTCTGGTTTGCGAGTTCAGGCGCGAAATTTGAAGCAGCAACGTAGTGGCATCCTCCAGACCCTCCTCGGAGCAAATCCCAGAGGTCAGCACCTTGACAACAAGCCTCAGGTGACTTTCCATAACTACAGAGGTTTTGTTTTCAGGGGAATCTTTCGGAACTGCGGGTGTTGTGGTCAATAAAGAGCTGCTCTCGGTTGAAACCTGCGACGAGGTGTCAACAGACGGAGTCACTTCAACCACCATCGGTTCTACCATTCCCGGATGAGACGGAGTATCGCTGGGGTGTGAGAGTGGCTCATCCACAGACCCGTCCTCGAAAGATTCCACTTCATGAGGCTCACCTCCGGCCTCCGATGACCGTTCGACAATCAAAGACGAAGCCACTGACTCCGTCTCGGAGCCCGGGGTATGAATCGTTGGGTTTTGCGTTGTCACACTTTCCTCAGGTAACGTGACAGAAACATTTGTGACCGCATTCAGAGATGGTGTGACAGACAGTGTGCCAGGTATCTGGGCGACTGCCTCAGGAGGAACCGTTCCCGATGAATTAGTTTCACTACTCACTGTTTCTTTGCTCGTTGAGCACGGCATATCAGGAAGAGCAGCCGAAGTTACTGACAACAGACGCAAAAGCTTGTCCGTCACAGAAGTACTTTCCTGTACCACAGGGTGGGCAAGCGCGACCAAGAGTTGCCCGATAGGGGCAGACGAAAATTCCCGTAATTCCCCAGTAGGTGATTCAGAAGTCGGCGATAAAAGCGATTGACTTGAACTTGATTTAGCGGCAGTTTTTCCTTTTCTTCCCGTTCCAGCAGTGTCGAGTCTAAGAAGTAGGTCCCAAAAGTCTGTGCTATCTTGAGCGATAGTGGCAGAACCTGGTTTAACTTCAGTGGATGAATTGTCTTCCTTATTGCATGACGGATGTGCTTTAGCCGAGGTTGACGGCGTAAAACTAGCGGGGAAGCTTTTCGCTAGAAACAACAACGCGTCCAGAACGTGTTTACAGACGAACTGCGACGCTTGTGGGTGTATAGAAACACAGTTACTGCGCTCGAGTCCTGCTTTCCCTTGCCGCTTTATACAGAACACGTTTGTCCGTGACCCTAGAGAAGTGCGAACACCAAATGAGAGCCATGAGTGTTGTTTCGACGATTTTGAATCAGACTCGGAGTGTTCTTGCGTTTGAAGGTATTCCTCAAGCCTACATGGGCTCTCAGTGTTGTCTGACTGAGAACCAGACGAAGCCTCGCCGCGCGAGGAACTCTCTACAGTGGATACAGGGCAAGATCCATCTGAATGTTGCCCGCTAGTTCTTCTAAGGATCGCAATCATGGCATTGATTAGCCAAGAGCGAGTTTCTTCGTGATAGCACAGGTTTCTGAGCACCTTGTGCAAACGTCCAGTGTTAAGTCGAGGTTCTTCGACAAAGAGAAGTACCAAGAGACAAACAAGTGCCTCGTGATCAAGCAAATGACGTCCAATAACTTTTCGGTTGGGAGGAGGGAGTGGGGGAGGACCGTTTGAAAAGCCTCCAACCCTACCACTCACTCCGCCCCCCATGGGAAGAAGTCTTGAAAGATGAGATCCTCCGCCGTGACGTGACAACGCTGAGTGACGGAGCAAAGCGGTTATCGCCGAAGTGCGGTCCCCGCCACCGAATGAGAAACGCTCCTGCAGAAGTCTATGGTGCCTAGCCTCTATCTCTCTCCGAAGAGATTGGGCTTCAGAGGCAAGATCGGTTGGCAGCAAAGGAAGAAGAGAATCGTCTATGTCCGCTAAGACTGTTTGACGTAAGGAAGGTGCTAGGTTACGCAGGAAAGATCCCGGGTCAACAGCCTGCTCCGGAGTTGCTGTTTGGTTTCGCCTTCTTTCTTGTTCAATGCGCTGTTGTTGAAGGACCTACCATTAAACAATTCAGCATAAAAATAGTAAGTTACAAAAGCAAAAAGAGCTAACTATTGAATTCGCTGTTCGCTGTATTCCGGATGCCAAAACCCAGGATTCTGGATTCCACAAGCAAAATTTTCCAGGATTCCTACAGATTCCACAAGCAGAAAGTTCGAGGATTCCGGACTCCGGATTCCCTTACATTTGAGCAACGTTGAAGTTTGTTTAACACGTGACCATTAAATAGTCACGGCGACAATAAAAGGAAAAAAAAAGCCAAGTACTCACAATGAAGACTTAGGAGTTATGAACTCGGGTTTGTTAATTTCCGCCATAAATAAAAGGGATCTTACACAAACACGTCAGCGACGGGCATTGGGAATTGGGAATACCAAAAAGAGAAATAGACTAGACTAGAAACCGGTCAAGTCGCCCGAAAGTTATCTCGCCTGAAGTTGTGTCGCCCGAAACCAGAGTCAAGTCGCCCGCAGTGCTGAGTCATGTCGCCCGAATTTTATCAAATAAAATGCACAGAGAAACTAAGTTAATTTTTGTTAAATAGAGAGTGCATGTAATATATCTCGTTGTTTAAACTATCATGAGACGGAACAAGCGGGATGAATGTGTAACATACGTCGTTCTTTAAGCGACGATGAGACGAAACAAGCGATATATTAAGCTTATGTGTAATATATCTCGCTCTTTAACCCTTGATGAACAACAAAGCAAGCGGATAAATAAGTAATGCAACGAAACAAGGGATGCTGGGATGTTGATTACGAGCCACACAACTCAGCATTTCGGGCGACGTGACTAAAAATTTAGAGCGACATAACTCTGATTTCGGGCGACATAACTTCGCGCGCGGTGACCGTAAACCGACTTAATGAGTAAAACAACAACTCTTCACCAGCACGAAATCAAACTATTTTGTAGATCTCTATACTAACACAGCGCAACTACGAATTGAAATTTCCAAATTTCAATTCAATTCAATTCCATTCAATTCTTTATTTCACGTTCGTACGTAAACACAAGACAAATATTTTTTTCCGTTTTCGGAACTTGGATTAAGTCCTCTAGAACTCCACTTCAGAGACATTTGCCTACATTAACAAACTGAGGCTTGAAACGGGGTGAATTCACTTTCTAAGTTACCATTTCGTAGCTGTCGCCGTGGTGGTTGCTTAAGCTCCGTACAGTACATGTTTTGGACTACAACCATTGCAGTAGGCGAAGGTGGAAGAAGATCAGCATTTTTTACAGTCTTACAAAAAGAAGGGAGAAATAATAAACAAACCTCTTCTTGAACGTCAGGAGGCAAGGCAGCCAGAAATTCGGGGCTCACGTTCAAGTCTGTACTCGCTTCATTCTCGTTTGCTGTAGCATTTCGCTGCGATGGTGGAGGTGGATGCAGCCCCAGCTGCTCTGCTAGAACTTCACGGCGTATAGCCTCTGGTAAAGCTTCCAGAAAGGAGGGATCTACACCATCTGGGATGGGAACGCCATCTATTGTTAAGGCTGAGGCCTCGCCACTAGTGCCTGGCTGTTCCATGTCCGAGACAGGTCCAGCTGCTGTGTTATCTTCTGCAGGGGCGGGAGGTGGAGGCTCTGACGCTTCAACTAGTTAAACGCACAGAAACGATTATTAGGTACGGTTCTTGGCAAGACAAGAGATGTAAGTGGCAAACGATGGCATCGGGAAAACAAGGCGATAACCTCTCAAAGCTTTGTAATAGTGCGTGATAAGATAGAATTATACGGCTGCTTTCAAAAAGCGAAATTTTCGCTTTTCTCAATAAAGAGCATCACCGGAAACAAACAAAACGGATCTAAGCTTTCTCACTAAGACTTGCCAGCAATAATTTCATGCCAAAAGGTATTGGAATTCTACTTTCTGGTCATGAAAAGACGTGCAGCCAACAATACAAAACACAACTTAACAGGTTTTACCAAGGTCGGAATAGTATACAGGGTAGGCAAGGCTAAAGGCACTTCAACTTTACGGAGTGCTCTTAATAGGGTTGTAGTTATGGCAGTTACGCCGTGTTCGAAATAGAACTTTAAAGTTCTCGTTTAAATAGAAGTCAAAACGTTTTCTGGTATAAAAGGACGCGACACATATGCTCACATAAATACGATAGTTGACGTCGGATTTGACAAGTGTCCCATTGCTCCGCGTTAAAAATGACTCTACTACGTACCGGTATCTCCAGCTGGAAGAGAATCTTGAGTAGCCTCAGCTCCTACTGCGGCAGAAGTTCCTTCTTCACCAAGAGCCATGGGTGAACCATCGCCTTCCTGTTGTCTTGACTCGTGTTCCGTGCTCGCAGCTTCGGATTGAGTCGCCTGCGGGGCATCAGCAGTTGGCTGTGGAGTAGAAACCTCATCGCTTCCACCCTGGTTAGCTGCTGCTTCCACTGTGGCAGCACTAATAATGTCCTGAGCGACTGAGCTGGCATGAGCGGGAGGGGTTAAGGTGGGTGCAGGGGCAGCCGTTGGGTCTTCACTGTCATCTGCCGGGGTTGATGTTCTCACGATGGAGGCTTGATCAGCTGATGGAATAGACGTACTGAGGATGGGTTCATCCATGCTCATGCCGATTGACGCGGATGTATTACCGGTGTCATCTTGCTCTGCAGCCGCAGGTTCTGATTCAGCAGCGGCAGGCTGCTCCTCGACCTGCATCACTTCACTCTGAGGTTCCACAGATGGAGAGGCATCAGACGCCGCAGTCGATGTACCCTCCCCTTCTGCAGTTGTCCCCGTCTCACCACCAGCCTTACCGCTTTCTTGTTTTTTCCTCTCCTCTTCCTCCTTCTTACTGGCAGCCGCCTTGGCCTGAGCCTCGGCTTTCTTCTTCTGCTCCTCTTCTCTTCCTTTAGCGATCTCCTCAGCCTGATGCTTTAGCAACACTGGAATAATCTCTGGCTTCACGGCTGCCACGCAGTAGTGAACACCTTGCGCATCAAGGATCTGGCCTTCTTCTGCCCATCGAGTTAACGCAGAGGGTACAGTAGACGAAGTACTTTCAGAGAAGTTCTCAAAAAATATTTCGTCAGTGACTCCATCCTCTGTGCTCCTCGTTATAACTTGTATTTCATCTTGTATCATATGTCTTCCTCGATGAGTGATGCCTACAGAATGAAAATTGGCAAAGTCGTCATAACATGTGAATTCGTAGCCTGCGAGCAAGCTCTCCCATTTGGGCGAGCTTGCTCACAGGCTGGTGAATTCGAAGAGAATATCCTCTAAAGTACGTAGATTTCCGATAATTCAGTTTCTGGCAATAAAGCTTTGGGTAAGAATACCCTTTCAGAAAGGAGATACTCCGTCGGCACTCTTCCTCTATTTGTGCATCAACTTTCACAAATGTGTTGGTTAAATTTGACCAGCATTTTGTGCAGCGAGTCGTATGGTCACGATTGACTTCAAACTTGCAAATATAAAACTAGAGTACTCTATGGCTTATTTGTTGAAGTTAGGGAAAAATTTGTTGTAGGATTTCGAAGTTATTTACATTTTTTCGCAAAAATGAGGTTTTAAATATATGCCCATATCTCAAACGTTTTTATACCAAAAAGAAAATAAATGTCATTTTCTTAAATTTCCACCATTCTTTAGTACGCATGCCAAAAATCATAGAAATCGGTTAAGTCGTTCCTGCTGAAAAACGCGATTAAAAAACAAAACAAACACACATATAATAAGGTTCGGAACACCTTAACAAGAGCTGAGGGAAACTAAACAAGACCCCAACTTTCTGGTACTCCTAAAGAAGTTGACTTTTCGCCCAAAAGTCCCACATGAGAATTTTAGGCATGAAAGTTGGATTTCTGAATCCTATTATCAGATTCTCCTGATAGTAGAAAGAGGTCAAGGCACATTTTCTCTCTAGTGACGTACTTGAACTGAACTGTATCCCATCTGATGAACTTTCGGGTCCCAGTAGGTTTTGAACCACGGCGGGTAGCGGGGGATGGGTCACTCCCTGGGGAGGTGACAGATGAAGTGACTGGGACTGGTTACTATGGTGCCTGGGGCCGGTGACTCGGATGCCATGCACACGGGACAAGCGCTGCGCCATGCTGGAAATGGTCTCTGGCTCGTCATCCTGAGAAACAGTCATCATGAATGAGCCAGCAAATCTACCGCCATGAGGCCCAGACATCCACTCAAGATGGTGGCGACCTGAACAAACAGATAAACAAACAAACAAACAAACAAAGCAACACTATGAGTGTTTTATAACCGACCGTAAACTTCCAGTTATACAACTTCGTACGTCGTAAAAAGTCCAATTCATTTCAATACAAGCCAGAGGGGAGCTTATATTCAGGAGGAGGGGGGACTTTTAACCGGATGGTTTTTTCTATGTTTACACATAGATGGGCCTAAAAAAATGGGGGGTTATACTCAGAAGATTACGGTATGAGCTCCAGGTTGCTATCCCATTTCCCGTATTCGATTTCCAATTCCTAACTTCTGGTATTTTACTTTCCATTTCGCGTTTCCGTATTCACTTCTCACTGATAATTTCTACTTCTTAAGATCTGTGATTGCTAACTCCGATTCTCTGATTCCCGCTTTCTGAATTTTGTTTCTTGATTTTCGATTTCTGATCCCCGTTTTTTAAATTGTTCTCTCACTCTGTATTTTGATTTGTGTGCTCATTTTGCAGCTCTGCATCAATAGGCAAGCCAAAGGGTAAAATGGTCGCCGTGTTTACAGTCTGCATCAATGGGCAGGCTATATAGTCGCCCTGTTTACAGTCTAGATCGATGAACAGGCTATATAATCGTCCTGTTTAAATTTTCTATTTCTAGCTTTCAGCTCTACAAACCACAAACCTGATCCTTCATCAAAGGGAAGGTAAATATCGTCCTCGTCGTACATTCGTAATGAATCGTCTCCTATGATATCCGCACCATCCTCATCCATGTCACTGCCACCTTCATCTTCTTCATCATCATGCTCATCGTCATCATTATCATCGTCGTCATCATCATCATCGTCTGCATCCTCCTCCTCCATCACATCAACTCCACTAGAAGCTTCCATCACTCCATCTTCTCGCACACCTATAGCACCTGTACAACACATCACAAACACTTGTAATAACTCTATCAGGACTCTATCAGGACTCCCGAAGTGCGATTATTAGAGCAAAAGTTAAAAACAAAACAAATTCCAACCATTAAGGCGGCCACTCTTAAGGAAGGGACAAGGGACAAGAAGCTTGGCCGTGTGAATTGCGGTCGTTTCGCGCGAAAGTTGACTTGCGCGAAGGCGTTCGCCATGACTTAAGTCGATTCACCCAATGACATACAACACTCTACAACATGGTGAACCTACCTCTCCGAGATGTTATATTAGTTAACCTTGGATTCCACATGTGTAGTCACTGTCTTTCCATGCTTACTAATTTTTCTCAGGCTTAAAGAACGACAAATGTACATTTGACGAATCAACTTAGTCGAGGGGAACTGCCATCAGGCGAATCGACCTATGGGCGAAACGACCCGATACCAGCCGTGTAATTAAGACCTTGTTTACTTCGATATACTAGCCATGTAAAAGTGGACGTTGTCCGCTTGGACTACTGTAACTCGGGTGGCTGCTAAGTAGAGGGTAGCCGCTTAATAGTGGTTCGACTGTAGTTCGTTATGACAATGACGGCCGTAAAGTTAGATGATAATCAAGTCAGGTAGTTAATGTAATTTAACTACGTATGTTTGTCATTATAGTGGTCAGCGGTATCAGAATGTTAGCGTAATTGATCTCATTGACACCCCCTCTAAAGTTAAATAAACGCCACGGGCGTCTAGAAGATCATTCAGCGTATGCTTTGAGCGCTCCTTTGGTAGCACTGGCTTTCTGTAGCGCGATTAGACAATTCACCTTACAAACAGCATATCTCTAAAACAGCCCCTCTGACTGGACAAGCAATAACAGAAGTGTACAAACCTTCAGGTCTTGGGACTGTGTCAATTTCCCCTTCATGATCGTCGTCACTGTCGTCATCATCATCATCATCGTCATCTTCGTCTTCCTCATCGTGATCATCATTATGGTCGCCAGATTCTTCAAAAGTAATCACCATGGTTTCATCATCACCTTCTCGTTCATGGTCGCCGCCATCGTCCTCATCAGAACCTTCGCCCACGTCCTCACCTCCGCTGTTGTCATCCGAGGAGTCGTTGTCACTTTCGCTGGAGTTTGGGTCTATAACATATGTCGTCTCCTCTATGACACGACCATCAGCCATGCGGCGGGTCATCATGTGTTCTGCGAGGATACTGTTGTCAACGTCTATAAAAATAAGTGACACATTAAAAGCAGCCAGTCGTTCACGTGGTACAAAACCGCCATGCTGGAGAGCAGAGGAAGCACTGAAGCAAGACAAACAAAGAGCTCATATCATTTAAAATTGATAATTCTCTTTGCTTGTCTTGTCCCAATGCGTCTAGACTGCGACCAGTCTCTTATTTTTCTTTGCAAAATTACTGCACGCAAAACCTAAGCACGCGAGCGGCGAAGCCGCTTGCCGCGAATAGCATCGTGGTTTGCAATCGCGCTGGATGAGATCAAGAACTAGACGGATTTTAAGAGAAAAGGACAATGCGCCACTTGCTCTCCAGCATGGCGGTTTTGTACCACATGAATAACTAGCTGCGCAAAAGGCCTATTGGCTATTGATGTGAGATATGTCAACAACGGTAAAGAGTTGATAATTTTCGATCGTGCATCCCTCATGTCAACTGGGATAACACAACAATGCTCTAGCGCAAGACCTCTATTCTGACTCCACTAACACGAGATATTCAATGTGAAAACCTTTATTTAGGATGCGTCAGTCAGTCATCTGATGCAGATCTTAAATCAATGATATCCATCTAGTAAAATAATAACATATGTTCTAAGCTAGAACTTGTACCATGCCAGATAGGAAAAACCACCAAACACCCACCCTTGAGAAGTGGCCAAAAATATGTGTGGAAACGTATTCCCCTACTAATGCAGTGGCACGTAAAATCCCGGAATCCGTTTTATCTTACAAAGGGGTACATACCTTGTGTTGCTTGGCCATCAGTGCCATCGGAGTTCAACAACTCATCAACCATTTCCTGCAGTTCTTCTAGTTCCTCTTCTGATGCCATTGGTATTATTGCTCTACCAGTGATTTCAGGGAGGGCCCACGAGTCTCCACTAGCTCCTGTGTTCTCTGGTTGGGAGTCAGGCGCCTGAGAATCGTCAGTCGCGGCAGCTGACAGAAAAGTGAAATTTTCAAAAATGAATCAGCAATCTACACATGACTTTGTAAGGGCAACAGTAGCTTTACCTGCCCATTCTTCAGATGTAAATTGTTTTTACGTGTATCAGTATGTGTGTGTACCACTTGTATAATTATTTTACTTATTGTAATATTAAATTTGTGGAAAAAAGAACTAAAAAAAGATACTGGTAATTCAGTATTTAACGCTATGCTTCACGAATTAGACCAAAACAAATATGTGAGAATCCTAACTGACTGAACCAGTAGGCTAAATAAAAGCATGCTAGCGGATTTGAATTTGAAGCCTCCGGAATACAAATCAAGCGGCTGCACCGCTCAGCCACTTGACAATACAAATATTCTTTACACATGACACCAGAGCCACACCTTACTTTCGGCCCCAAGCCCGCCGACCAAACATCAAATAGTTCACTGTACTTTTACCAATGCTTAAAGTAAGGAATGGTGGGTTGTTTCTTAAGTTGCAGAAATTGTTGATGGGATGGGTAACCGGTCATTTCTCCCCAGTTACTTAGCCCCCTATTTTTGAGTCATTTAGCGCGCTTCAAATGTGATATTCCTCGTTCTGTTAGCCTGCGCGCAGACGAAATTAAACTCTGGTTAACTCCGTCTGCGAAACAGCGCCGAAATCCTTGTTCTGGACTTCCAGCTGTGTACCCAGATTTGAGAACGCGCCACGATTGGCCAGTTAAAAAAGGCCTTTGTTTTGTTTGTCGTGATCGCCAATCAGGTTGAAGGGGAATTCGAAACGCACTTCCGGTAATTCGTTGAGTCCGTTGGGGGTCCAGAACAAGGATCTCTGCGCTGCTTCGCAGACGGTACTAATCAGAGTTTAGTTATCGTCTGCACGCAGGCTATCGTTCTGTAAGCCATAAAGCAAAACAAGCGCGCTTCAAATAAAATATTCCTCGTTCTTTTAGCAATAAACCAAAACAAGCACGCTCCAAATATAATATTCCTCGTTCTAGAACAGGGGGCTAAGTTACCGAGGCGAAATGACTTGGGGGCGAGATGACCGGTAACCTGTTGATGGTACGCTTTTCTTTTGTGGTGTGGGTATTGTTCAGTGTCTTTTTCGGATCAATTTCGGATATTTTCCCGGAAACCTAAATTGGTCGATCCTCGTACCCAGGCCAGTTCGTGCTATCCAAGTTACCAGAGGAGGCTTGGAACCGAGTGCGATAGCGCGAACTTTCCCGACAAGCTTGACAGGTGACGTCACATCCGAAATCGCCGAGGACGACTGGGAACGAGGCTGAAATTGATTCTCTATTTCAACAGTCGGAATGGTTCACATTTTCAGTTATCTCGTCTACTAGTTTTGTAAACGTCCTTGAAAAGAAACCTTGATTTCTTGTTCATTTAACAGTAAAAAAAAGGGCGAGATGTCACAATGTTTTATGCTTCTACACCTGATAAAACAAGTCTGGCCCTTGGTCAAGAATCACTATGGGCACCAAGTGTATGGTCCTCTCGTTTTTGCATCAGTTTCTTTCATTAACTGTAAGAGTCCAAAATTGAATTGACGGAATTGAATTCAAACGATTTTAACTCAAATTAGTGTCTTATAAATTTCACTTTACCTTGAGAGGGGGTTCTTTCAGTAGACTGTTGACTATCTCCTGTTCTCTGCTGGTCTGCTGCTTCGTCTGTCTGGCCTAGGAACAATGACATACAAACGCTCAAATAACCCACTTCATGGACCCTACCTTACTCAGTCTATATTACAGTCGAATTCTCCAAAACGGTAACCGACGGTGTCCCTTTAACCCTTTAAGTCCCAATAGTGTCCAACAGCAATTTTTTCCTAACGATATTCATACATTATCATGAGATTAGGTTATGAGAATTAATAAAATGATCACATAAGAGAAAATACTTTGATCTTTTATCAAATTCTCTTAACTAATTCTTAAAGGAAATGTATAGAGATCAGTTTGGAGAATTTGTATATGGATATTCGGGCTTAAAGGGTTAACAGAGGTTTCTGCCTTACAGAGAGTGACAAGCAACAAGAACTAATACTAGGTTCCCGTTTTTGGAGAGTTGACTCAATTAGAGACATATGGTGTAACGAACATATAACGAACCCTTTATAACAAAAACCCCGGTATGATAAACGATAATTTTGCCTCAGTGTCTCTCAGGGGGCAAAGAAATAGGTTAATTAGAAGTACGGTATACGACATTTTTCACCCAAGCTATAGTAAGGCGGACGAACAGGACCCGGTTCGACAAAAAGTACCCCCGACATCCAAACAAATACTTGCCCCACCTCTAAACACAGGTGAGACGGGTGCTTAACATTAAGCTGTAATGTTCCGACTGTCACTTGAAAACTGTTTCAAGACATATATATGCCAGTTATATACAGTCAGTCAAACCTCCGATAGAGAGACGTATGAACACTATGATAGTATTCGTCAAGGGAGAGGTTCCACTCTACAGAAATGAAATCAGGTTCAAAAGAGCTACTACTGACACATACCTGCAGAAGAGCTCTGCTGAGTCTCAGAATCACCTGCCACACCCTGTGAATCAGCGGACAGTTGATCACCTCCAGTTGTTCTTTCCTTACTAGCTCCAGTTTGTGGACCACTGGAGCTTTGTTGGTTCACCACCCCAGAAAGCTTCTCCAAAGGCTTCAACAAACAGTTAATGGTTGCTACAAAATTTGGGCTAGCCAAGTCTAAGCTATGTGGCACTCTAGCCAAGTCATTTACAAGTCCTTTCTTCAGCAATAGCTTGGTAACACTGTTAGGCTGCGATGCAGCATGCGGTGTAGTATGCGGGCCAGTTTCGATCATGGCCTGAACTAAGGTAAAGAGAGCCTGGAGTCTGGAGTGTTTGGACGTTGACTCGGGTAATGCTAGAGCACGGCCTAGAGATGCCTTCATCTCAGCTATAAGCGTCTGTTGGGCTTCCGGGGCCTGGTGGCACGTGGCTATAGCCGCTAGTAAGGTGCGCGCGTAAGATTGAGTCTCCTCACTGTCGCCTGGTGACCCGGATGGGAGAAGATGATCGAGAATAAAGGCGAGGCCTGGGCCATCATACTGTAGAGCAAACAGAAGAGAATAAGCTTTAACCTCGCCAACATCAAGTTGGTTCACGCACTACCTAGCTGAGAAAATCTCGTTCTCGGAGTTGTCCTCGTCTTAGAAACTAAAGATCTCTACTTAAAGCTGTGAGGGAAAATCTATAGGGAGCTTGAGCGACGACGACGGGAGTGAAAACGTCGCTAAGGGAATAAATTTGCATCCTTTCAAACTTTATCGCGTCGTTTTGGACCCGCTAATTTTGTCAAATGTAGGCGATTTTTCCTGGAGTTGAATTCTTAACGATTTTATACAGGTTAAAAAGAGAAAGAAAAATCTTCTTACGTTCACGTCCTACATAGAGCGTTGCATTAGAAGCTTTCACGTCGTAGTCGTGCACTGGACGTCAAAGAAATGTACTAAAAAGCGTGATGCACGTGCAGAGCTGTTGTTTTGATCATAAAACCAATTGTTTTTCGACGTTATCGCTGTCGTCGTCGCGGATGCTTAAGCCCAAAGGCGTTTTTGAGAGAAGCACGTCAACCGGAAGTAAGGACTTTTCCTTTTTAATATGGGATCAATTTAGGTCTCTAGAAAACTGCCCACCTACCCCTCCCCTGAGCTAACATTAACACTTAGTTCTTGCTTAGGGCAAAATGATGGCTTAGGGGAGGGGTAGGTGCGCAGTTTCCCAGACACCTAAATTGATCGTTAATATGCCTTGACGCTATACAATTTGTATTGCTTAGTTTCTTTACACTTGTACCACTGCTCAGGAATGTAAAAAGTCCACTTCCGGTTGACATGCGTCGCTCAAAAGCGTCTTTACTCAAGTTCTCTAATGAGAAGTTGCCACTAACCTCTGATGCAGATGACAATTTAGCATTGTGGCTGTACTCTGTAACAAGCTGTGACACGCCTGCATAGGACTTAACCAGTTCAGCTAACAGCTTCAGAATAGCGGACTTGGGTAGAAGAGGTTTAGAAGGAGTCTTGGTGTCCTTGGTTGAATCTTTGTTTTCTTCATCCTTTGAGATGTCATCCTTCTTTTCATCGCTCTTTATCATTGCTACATGTAACTGAGAACTGCTTTGGCTGTTATTCTGGGACGAGTCTGCATTGCGTAAAAAATGATATGTTAGAAGCCCTCTTTTACTTTTTCTTCTTTACCTTTCACAGCTAATAGTAGCCAAAGGAAAAAAAATCCCCAAAATTCAAATTTCCATAATTTTGCAAAATCGCTAGAAATAAAAAGTAGACTAGTATGAAAACGTTTTGCCAAAAAGATTCCATTTGAATGGTAGCACCACAGGTTTTAGTCCACTGACTAAAAAGTTAAAATGATATTTAAAAAATTTAAATGTTTTGTAGGTACATTTGAAAGAACTTGGAATATATCGAGCATAATAATTAAGAATTCATTCACAGAGTACCGGACGAATTTTCGGCCGGCAGAAAAATTTGACCGGACACTCCGTTCACAAGGGACCGTTCAATATTTTCGCTCTGTTCACACGGAATTGGGAACGGCTACGCGTCTAAATTTTATTACGGTTAAGGCGGTTCCGTGTGAACAGAAAAACTAAACGCACGAATTTCCACCGGTCGAAAACTTACCAAGGGACATTTCTTCAACATCAACATCCTCACTGGTAAGTTGTCGATTGTAAGCCGGTACTTGAACCACACCCTGCCCAGTAAAACCTTCAATCAAATCACCAACTTGACCTAACGCACGTCCCAGCTCTCCAAGCACCTGACTGTCTGAGCGGCGTACAAAAGTACCTCTGTCCATGGTCCTTGAGTTGAAACCCGGGGTGCACAGGACATTCAACAGATCGTGAACAACTCCATGAACCGGTTTGGCAACAGGTGGTGGTTTCACAGGCTTACCACTAACCACAGCCTTGACAAGTTGGGCGTAGTTTGTAGGCAAGTTCGTGTCTCCACCTTCGATCATCGTCCGGCGTAATTGAGGTGTAATCGCTAAACGAAGCGAGCTTGTTGCAACCTCCTTGAAGAGTTCATTATTTCTACACGCAGCAGGTCCAAGAACTCTCAGAACATAATTGATTTCCTTGGCTCCTGGCGAGTTAGCGCTTACACCCGTATTATTACTACTGACACTGCTTGTGGCTGACGATCGAACAGCTTTTTCCATTGTGTGCCTTAAGTTTTCTTCATCTTCTAACACGTGTCTAACAAGAAGTGTTGCCAACATGGCAAAACCACCGAATGAAGACTCTTGCGTGAGTAAAAGAAGAGCCTTCGCTCCACGTTCATCTACAAACTGAACAGCGAACTTATGTTCCTGGGTGAGTCTGAGGCAAAGCTTTAGCACTGCTTGTAAGGCGTTTGGTGAAACAGGGATCCAAATAAAACTTCTGCAGCAACTGCGAAAAAAGGAAATCACGAAGAATAACACAAGGTTACGATTTAATACTGGACAGCAATAAAAATTGAACTGAAAATCGCTTAATCGTTTCGGGTCACACGGTGGCCCCAGGGGCCTAACTTTGCTCCTGGGCGACTAGGAAATCTTAGTTTTTTCATACAAATCAAATGCTGAGCACCCTGTAGTTTACTGCTTCAGAGCACTGGACTCCCTTCAGTTTTCCTCAGAGCACAGCCTTAAGAAATGTAGGCTGGATTTCGGCCGCACTCTCGCGTCCGCTCAAAGAGACGGAGGAGAAGCGGGACCAGCGGCTGGTTATCGGGCCTATAGCAAGGTATTATTGATACCTGATGATAAGGGCTTTTTGATCATCGTTTAAGCGTTCGATGACTTGTTCCTCCGGTTTGTCGGTTTTCGCCACTCCTAAAAACAATAATGAAATAATATAAAATATAGAACATAATAAAGAATAAAACACTCTGACTCTCTCTTCCCAACCGGATTTACCTCAGTACGACGGACAGTTTAATGATTTAGTCCCTGCCTTTTCCTCCCTTTGTTTACGACTCTATAAGACCAGACTTCTCTTCAGATGAACACTTGTTATCAGTAACAAAGTCTCCGTCTTCAGAAAATTGTTTTAAATCATGACCGGGTGTGGATTCGCCCTGGTATGCTGCGCTCTTTTCTTCATTTCTTGCTAGCTTTTCTCTTTGGATCCGGCTTGGAGATTGTTTTGCTCCTCCGCTTTTTCTCACCAGCAACAGATGTGCCACTTCACAGGCTCTGGCTCCTCCTTCTCACTGGCTTCGTATCACTGTTTAAGTTAGCGGTTTCTAACATTATGGGGCGTCGATTGCCAGAGTCCTCGTTTACCTACCAAGACATCAGAGGAATTTTATTGAAATTAAAGGAGCTGTGCCGCAAATTTAGCTAAATTCGTCCTTTTAGCGCGATATCCACATGCAAATTCTCTAAACTGATCAACATACATTTCCTTACATATTTAGTTGAGAGAATGTGATGAGATCGAACCGTCATTAAGGTGATCATTCTATTAATTCTCATTAAAATCTACTGTACTGATATTGTTAAGAGAAAATCGAAGTTGGTCATCCTAACCTCATCATCTAAAATCTGAAATTCGAGTCTGCAGAATGTAAAAGGCGATATCTATACCTGAACCATCGTGGAGAAGTTCACCAAATAGCGTCGCCTTCCTGCCATGAACCTGAGAAAAGACAATGTTACAAACGCTTAGGTAGATGGAAAACATTTGATAACATCGACTGATACCAGAATTGTGAGCCCGCGAGAATAAGGCACCCTAACAAAACATTGTCTTCACTGCAACCCAGTGACTGGCGACATGTTGAGTTTTATCACTTATTCGTAGTCTGGAATCAAACAAGGCAATTTCAGCAACCAGGTTTTTAGAAAAACATCAAGAAACAAGGAGGCGCATGGGAGTAGTAAAATAAACTGAATAAGGAGAATTCCCTCAGGAGGTTACATCATTTAATCACTTGAGTTTACTTTAAACTTATGTCACAAAATTCAGAATTAAATTATTTCTTCAGAAACTTGCACATTGAACTAACGGCTTTAGAAAATAGCATCCTCCCGAGCACCACTACTAGCTCCAGAGGTCGTTAGACTGCAAAAACCATTCGCTTTTTCTCAAAATCAGTAAAATCAGTGAAAGCGTAGCGTAAAGTGCTTACGCGCGCCAGAAGCTCGCAGGCCTCCACCACGCCCCATCAAGCGTCTCTCCCAATCTCTCTATGTTTTTCAGCCTCGATCCAAACCTTTTTTTGTTGACTGCTCATCCGTAGATACCAAAATACAGGCTGTTTGATCTAAGAAGTCCGTTATCAAAATACCTAGGATGAAATACACCGTGCTTAAGTTTGGTTCATGAAGAAGCAGTGGGACGTCATGAGAATATCAGCTATTTTCCCCGGAGCTGCTGACGGCTAAATTGCTGACTTCTCCTGTGTCTGTTCTGGCCGACACAGCCCCAAACTTGGTAACTTCAGTGATTTATGTGAAGGTATGCCTGGCTCACGACTCTCATTTCACAGCACGCCCGCATCGATGGTCGTGTTATTGTTGACGTTGTGGATTTGTATAGCTCGACCGCTACCGGTCACATCAGAGCCACTTCCCGGCATGCGTAGTACACTGGGTGATAAACAAACAGGCTAAGGCCAATGAACTGGCGCGTACGCGCTTCACATTGGCAACATGGTAATTTCAGGGACAATCCCCGGAGGTCACGTAGAGAGGGACAACCAGAATAAGAATCAAAGGCTGCCGACTCTGGTATGAAATTCAGTGGTAGCCTATTTACCACCCTTATCATGAAGCATTTTTCTCCTCGTAGTGACCGCCATTTTCTCATGGGTGTCCAACAACAGTATCAGAGAGGACAACCATCTGCATAACGGTAATATCACAGAAAATTTCTTTATACACGATGGGTCAATCTTCTTTCTATCTCAATAGTTATTGAATTAGATAAAAAGGACTTCTTCAATGTTTCACTTGGTTTCATGTCGGAAGATGAATTCTTTCGCCGCAAAACTCAGCGACAGATGTTTTACTGTAAAGTGTTGAGTTCAGTCACCATGTTGGTTACTACCCATCGGATGATTTTAATACGGCGTTTCATACTAAAACCAATAGATTCAGGAAGATGTTCTCAGAATACCTCAAATCGAAGTTCCATCTGGCCGATTCAAATTTCATGACTTCCTCAGTTTTCCCGACCGCTTTCTAAGTTTTTGTATTCAGTTTAACTCCTGCTAAACACCAAACTTTTCTTATTTTGGAGTGGCCACGGCCATTTAACAGTTTCTAGAACTTTGAAATATGTTGTCCTCCGTACGTGCCATTCGCGCTGTTTATCGCTCCCTCTATCTTATTCTTTTGTCACCTGGTATTCAACTAATCCCACAAAGCTTTATCTAAATTCGATGACCCTACTGATAAAGTGCCAATTTCAGTTTTCCTGCGACATACCTGAGGCACTGCGGCGATTGCCACCGGCCACAGATCGCGAGGTCTCCCAGACCTTTATTTTCCCCACCTTTCATTCCCGGGTCTAGACTCTATCTAATAATAGACGTCTTCAGCTTTTTGCACGGTAACATGCCACATAAGAACACTTACACTGGTATGAATGCTGTAGATCCACTAACGGTTGCTGCATGACGGCCATGGCACCTCGAGTAAACTCAAAAACAAAAGATTTACAATACCAAACTTCTCAATGATGGCTCCACAGTGGAATTTCTTCTCCTGTGAAAGTTGTAAAACAAAAGGAGTGACTCCATTGGTATCGAGTCCAAAGCATCACCTGTCCAACCCTGTTAGCAAAGCCTTTCTTTCGGTTGCTCGATTTTAGCGTACTTAAGAAAGACTGTGCATGAATCTAGTAAGATCTTTGTTGAGCTTGCTGCATACAATTGCACTGGGATATAGTTTTCGAACCCAGGCTTGTGGCCCATGCACTCCCGTTATGATCAATCCAGTTTATCAATAAACAGATGCTTACACCCGAAAATTTGACGAGGAGAACAAGGGCAGCGAGGTCAGACGTTTCGGGCTGCGGCAAAACGGCGCGATTCAGGCGGGAACTCCCTCTTTTCTCCTCCTCGATCAGAAAGGACGAGGGCTCTATAAACCAGGTGCCTGGGAGGGTAGGTGGGTAGTATTCGAGGCTTGGTGCCTCTTCCCACACACTCCCTTCACCAGGTTACTTTGAGTAGGCGCTTACAGTTTGCACCGACAGGCCTGCCCACAGAAAGTTACTATCCCATTGGAATGGAAAAAGTGGATCACTATCGAGGGAAATCGAATTGTTCCACTAAACTCTTAGTTGAAGCTAGGGGCTTGAAAAAAGTGCCGTCGGGTAGTTCGGGACAGGTAGATTTTCAAGCTTACTTGCTCCGTGGGCAAGTCATCTAGCCCATTTGGAGTAAAAGACCAAAACGACTTACCTCAAAAAGCAAACAAGTGAGATGAAGAAGAGAGGACAATCGCGCGGCTTCTGGCATGCTGCTCATCTGGGAAATGCTTTCTTCAAGTTGTTTGGTGTCAACATTTTTAATGGTGCAAGTTTTCAATACAGTTTTCACGTCCGACTGGACCTGTGGAAAGAAGAGTGCTAAAGTCAGCCAGAAAAGAAAAAAAAAACGAAACGCCAATAAAAGGCACAATTTTTAGTTCCGCAACTTCAAGCGAGAAAGGATAACTATCTAGTGCGACTTTCCTCCTTCATCCCAAACTAAACCCAGCTGTATGTAAGAAACCGAAACGTTGGGATTGTTAACTGACCTGGTCACTCATCATAGGAATTCAAAATCCATACCGTCGACTTCAGGTTATCATCTTTTGGGTGCACAGGGTACAATGGAATTACGTCACTTTTGCAGTTACTTAAGACACACCTGATCTAAAATGTGCATCATTGTGTTTTTCTTCCATTCCTCTCCGTTGCGCGGCACGCGCCACAGCCCAGACAGCACGTCTGAAAGCGCCAACAGTCCCCGGCAGAACGCCAATCCGGTACTTCAAGCAACCGCGCCCAACATACCAACCGTGAATTGAGTCCACGTACAGTTTTCTCCAGCAGAATATTGCTCGTCTCACAACCACCTTCCGTCTTCCTCTGCCTTGTTTTTTGAAGTGCTCTCTTCTTGTTTTTTCTCTGTTTTGGACGAGTCTGTGGCTGCAGGTTCCGAGGCGCCAGAACCAGAGGCAGCAGCAGGCTACAAAGTAAAACCAACATTGTAAGGTTTTTCAAAGGAATATTATACACATCAGTCTCTCTTCAGTCACAGAACTGTTACTGAAACCTGACCGTTGAACCCTTCCCTTCCCAGGAAAAAGAACCGCTGGATTTCATCCGCAGGATCAAAAATTAGTTGCACCTTTCAAGATTCAATTATTCATTCCCTGGGAGTCGAACGGTTAATTAGCCGTTTGTACCTCTCCCATAATAATAATTGTCCTAAATGTTGCAATACTTTCGTCTTTAATTTCCCCTGCGTATCAGTCGTCCCAAGAGAAATTGAAGACAATGCTTATGCAAAATTTGAGAAGGCAAACAAGGAGAAGGAGTGTTATGGAAGATGTGCAAATGGAAGATACAGGTTGGACTTGCGGCCAGCTCAGCCGATGAGACTTCCAATGTGCATATGCACATTCTATACATTCAATGCAATGAGCCTTCAGATCCAGGTGTAAGAGCAGGGTTGACAGTACAACTTCAGATTTAGGCGGTTCTACCGAAGTCCATTCTAGCCTACTGAAACCAAACTCTCATGTTGGGTAAGCAAGTGGGCCTTGCGCAGGCAGGGCCCTTCATCGCTCGCTCGCGCCTTCTCCCGGAACTCACTCACCCAAATGGGGAGGCTGCTCTGAGTGACCCCAATCTCAAGTCGCGAAATACTCTGTCCACTCAAAGGAGGGCTGGGAGCAGGACAAAAAGCCAAAAGCTGCCAGGAGAACAGCCACCTCGAACTAGTCGTCAAAGATTGCTAGGATTCCCAAAGGGCTCTACAAAAACAGGAAATACTACTCGATAAATTGATGATGGCGGATTGAATTCAGGATGCGTCACGGTGTATGGCGAGACTTCAGTCAAAGCGATGCAAACATCTGACAGTGTTATTGCATTGATATTACGAACAGCACCAATCATGACTATGGGCTGTGGAGTACCGACAATGTATAATGAAATGCAAAATCAGTTAAAACTGAGATGGAAGTGCTACGAAAATTCCCGCCTCAAAGACCGCGGTTACTTATGAGTCGTTGAAGCCACGTATAATTTATAATGGTACACAAGGGAAAAATAACAGTAAGTATTGAAATATTAATCTCCCTCCGCTCACAAAACCACAGGAAAAAAATCGGCGACTAAACATGTAATATGGGATCAGGCCCAGTTTTAGCTTTCATTGTTCGCCTTTTCCATGTACTTGGTTTTCCTCGGCATTGTAATCAGCCTGCAGTGAAACAAAGTGGGGCCTCGCCCCAGGTTACTTAGCACAGGTTGATCACGCATTACATTTCTTGATCTAATACATAAAGCCACGGCTACACAAAACGTTCCTAGTACAAACTACACTTCGCGAAAGCCACAATTCCGTACGAAGCGGCTTATAACCAAATACTTCATGCATACTATGAAGCTATTTATTAGAGCTGGATGGTCAAAAACAGTAGTCTCCTTACTGTTCATTTTTGGTGAGAGCTGGGGTTTTCCCCTCCATCCCTCCTGGAGGGTTGATAGAAAAGCCCTCACTACAGAGACTTAGATTTTTAGGTATAGATTATGCTGGTTTGTCGCAGTCTACAGCTGGGGCAGCAGCAGGTGGCATATCCTGCCCGAGAGACATAGCCTGCGGCCTCATCCAGACAGTCAGCCTATTACTAGCGTGTCATAGTCCAAACCAAGCTCCTGAAATAGTTTCATAATAAATTTTCCCTTTAAGCCCCAATATCCGAATACAAATTCTCCACACTAGTGTCCATACACCCACAAGTGCGTTGTAGGGAGACTTCCATAAAGATCACAGCATTTCTCCTTTGTTGTCATTTTACATTCTCCCCAGCCTTTTACCATGATAATGTGGCCAGTATAGTTAGGAGAAAATTGATGATCTCTTTAGGACTTGCAGGAGTTAAAACCCCCATTGGAAAAGAATGATCCATTACATAAGCAGTCTTACAAAGAAACCTATCAGTGTTGTGTATAATAATTATTAAGAATCCCACGAGGAGTAACCTGGCTGCCATGGTCCCGCAGGATTCACACTGATAAGCTGGACTTCTCAGAGATGACTGGAGATCCCACAGTTTCCCATTAGGTTGATCAATTTGGGTTTTTGAGCTGCTCACCTAACCCTCCCCTGAGCCAACATTTTGCCCTATAAAAGGTTGGCTCAGGAGAGGGGTAGGTGGGTATTGTCCCAGTGATCTAAATTGACCTGGAATTCTCTTGACCACTGGACTGGTCTGGCCGCCCAGTTGTGACTAAAGTTAAGCACCCGTAGACTGTGCAGTACCTACCCTGGATGGGGGTGGTGGAGGGTGAGTTAGGATGTAATCAGTGGCCTCCTCCAGACTTCCTGTATTCAGGAGAGCCAATCTTGCATGTTCGTGTGTAAAGCCCATGTCCATAAACTGAAACAGCAAGAAATGACATTAATACAAAAATTGCAGAACCCAAGTTTATCAGAAAATAACATCTAAAAAGTTTGGCCTTTTTACGATCGCAATACAAAGCCTGCAAAACACCAAACAAATTGCTTATACTATAGTTTGGTCTCC